TTATATTTCCCAAATGATGTTTAACGGATCAGTGAATTTTTCATTGAACAGTGTTTCCAATAATGTTTTATCGTGTGGAGAAAGAATTATTTGTTTTATTTTGGCTAGAATGAGAGTAGTTTTTAATAAAAAAAAAAAAACTTTTAAAACTATTAGTCTCCTTAAGCAATATTTTTTTTCGATTGTCCTTAGAACTTGCCTAGTTAACTTAATAAACCGAGTTAAGCCTTTAAATGTCACTTTAAGCTGAACACTAGTATTTTAAAAAATATCCAGTAAATAATGAGGTTCTGTTATCATGGCAAAGATAAAATAAATCAGTTAATAGAAATTTGTTTTTAAAACTAATATGTTTAGATTTGTGTTGAAAAAAAATATTTTCTTTGTTAACAGAAACTGGGGAAAAATATACAGGAGGGCTAATAATTCTGACTTTAAATGTATCTTGTATCTGATTCCAGGCAATTATCTGAACACTCTTTTACCCTTTGGACTCTTGTAATATTCACAGATAAGAATCTTAAAGAAAATAGTAATTCCTTAAACCTTTATACTGTTATAAAATAAAGCCAGAGTGGATTTATCCTTTAATAAAATTATACTAAGGCTGAAGTATATGGCAGGACAATGCAGACCATCTAATCCACAAATAAAATGAACAATGAAGCCTGCATGAACCTGAAAGCAGCACCAGTTTATGATCACTCACATCATATTTGAGGATGTGATATTGTGGTGGAAATTTGTTCATGTGGCTGTGTAAGAGTTAAGCCTTACCCTGGTTCTGCAGGGGTGATGGTGTGACAGGCGATGTGCTGCTGTTTCCCATCACTCCCCCTGCACTTAGAGAAAGCATGCATGCACACATACGCCACTTCACCGCTGGTCTGGAGTGAAGTGCAGAGTCCTGGGAAAATATTGTTCATTACTGGGTAGTTACTGTAGCGGCAGGCAACATGTTCACAGTTAACATCTCGTCTTCTTTGCCAATGCTAAAGTCAAATGCAGAGAGACGGGGAAGGACAAGCTTCGCCTTCATGAACAGGTACAGTGGGTCTTGGAACTGATATTTAGTGAGGTATTGTTTGCCTACCGATGTCTGCTTTTTCTTATTGAACTGTACCAAAATGCCATGAATTAAATTCTGCAACATCAAAAAAGTCACTGTTTACCTTTTTAATGTATTTACCAATTTTTTTAAAAGGAGATGAGTTATAAATAATTTCCTATTATATCCCTCTCAAAAAATGTCAAATAAAAACAGCAGATATTTAGTTGATTTAATACAAAAATGTAACTTTGCTTTAAGGAGTAAGTGTGAATCATTTAATCTGTAATTTTCATTTCAAGTCATTGCAATTATGTTTAATTAGCGTTTTTGTCAAAATGATTGTAATGTTTAATCTACAAAGCATTTGGTGTCATGATTCGGTTTCATTATATATCGCCAATAGATTTGTGCAGATACATTTTCAGTGTTTGTACTGTATGACAGTCTTGTTTGAACATTTATTATAAAACCAAGGTTATGTAGGCTTTATAGTAGACGCAGGATGGTAAAACATTTCCCTAAACCCATTGTTGATGTTGAATTTCTTTCAATAGATTAGTTCACCCAAAATTAAAAATGTATTAATTACTCACCCTCATGCTGTTACAATCCCCCTAGAATTTTGTTTATCTACTGAACACAAATTAAGATATTTAAATGAAATCCGGGAGCTCTCTGACCCTGAAGCATTTTACAAGACTTCAGTGGTTCATGTGTTATCACGCAAAACAATTATTCAAGAACACATTTGTGGACCACTATAAAAACAACTTTCCGTCAGGGTGCATGTTTACTACTGGCAATATGACGTATTTGCTATAAAGGCTGCATTATATTTCTGCAATGAGAGATCATTGACAGCAGTGCATTTATACTTCTGCATTCTGTTTTTGTGTTGCTTTGATAATAACACTACCAAAACACTAGCTGGCAGTGGGGTTTCTATGTTCATCTGTGTTGAAGTTTTTCAAGGGTGTATGTCAGGGCTATTCAATTAGTATGTCATGGGGGCCGGTTCATGAAAAGCATCCCAAACGAAGAGCCGAAGAGATATGGCTTGCTATATGAGTGAAAACACAACTGCATATAAGAGCCCATATGCTGTATTTTTGCTCCTTAAGATCCCCACATTGACTTTTTCTACATTAAAATGTTAATATAATGTAATTTGAAACTACATAAAAATCACTACATTGTAGAATAGACTTTTTTTTTCTTCAAACATTCAAATGTCTAACATTCAGACACATTCATATGTTATGTTTTGAACTGTATAACAATTATGGATGCAACAATGATAGATTTTGATTGTACGATTATATAGTCTAAAGAATAATCATGGTTTCACGGTTACCACGTCTAATGTAAATTCAAGCTTTATATTAGGTAAGTGGCTATTTAGATTAACTGTTGTTGCCATCTGCATTCATACATACAGTACATAATCATTTTAATAATAATTCCTCTAACATATCTTTTGTTTACATTGCACTGAAAGGCATGCACAACTCTCACCATGAGATGTTTCACTGCGTGCACCCATAAAGGCGCAAGCCCATCGCTCTCCTTGTCCGTGCATATTGGCATATATTCTTACATTAGAAATATCAAACTTGCAAACAGAAAATACGTGATATGGGAATGGCCGCTGCTGTAGTTAATCTGTGTGCGTGCATATTAGACTCAGCGTACTTGGTGAACTTTTAAAGTAGTGCACAGTTGGCAACTTGGCATAACTTTGTTAAACTGCAGCAGTTTTGTTTCATTCCATGCGACTTAAAGAAGACTGTTTCAGAATTAAATGTGACGAATTAAAGCGCAGTTAATACTGAAATCGGCTAATTGTTGCATCCCTATTACTGATATCAGTGCACTGTATAAAAGGTCCTTTTCTACAAACACATCCAAATGTTTTTCGGCTGCCTGTGCCACTCGCTTATGGTGACTCACGCTTTGTGCAGCCTTCAACTGCAGCTCGTGCTATATTGAACAGACGCACTTCACCTCATAACAATAGCGGTCGTTTTTCGACTGAACAATTCATTTTTGATGTCTTGGTCACACTGTTTGGAGGGCTGGAACAAATTGCCTCAGGGGCCGGGTTTGGCCCGCGGGCCACCAATTGAATAGCCCTGGTGTATGTTAATTTACTACAATGGCCCTTAGCCAATTAGATTTTAAGACCCCTGCTTTAGGGTGTATTTACACTAGGCTATCTAAATCATTCCTTGCAGCATTTGACTCCCAGTTTGTTTGACAAGTGTGAGTGCTCGGCCCAGTTGGAAGAGGTGTGCCAGAGCGTGGTTCAGTTGGGCTTTGGTGCAGTACGCTTGTACTGTGAGTGCAAAGTGTGCCTGAGCACAAAACTGAGCATGCAAGGTCACTTTTAAGGGACTGTTTCATATGGAAATGTATTAATCATTCTTACTTTTCAATGAACGTGAACTGTCATAGTTTATTGTAGACACAAACCCCTCACTGCACGTCAGCTGCACTTTCAGCAAACCTCCTAATACGTGCAGCATGAAGACTTAATGAAAGTATGGGCGTCAAAAGTGGTGGATCTGTTCAGCAAAAGATTTGACTGTTTGTCACCACATTCCAAAATGACTTAAATAATACAAAACAATACAACTAAAGCAATCTCCACTGTACTGAGCAAGAGCACTTCTCTTGATAGAAGAGTGCCATCATAGATGACATAATCGTGCTCAGGCTCGGAAGGTAAAATGCAGTGTAAATGCAGGCTGTGGGGGGAGAGGTGACAAATGCACCCTGGTTCAATTTAACCATGCCTTGTGTGAGTACACCCTTAAAGTCAGCACAACATGAAATTGCCGTATTGCCTGTTCTAAACATGCACTTTGTTCTGACATAGAAGACAAAGGCAAACTAAGCCCCTAAAACTAACTAATACAGACTTCAAATGAGAGGAACTAATAAATACAGAAGACCCAGAACAGTGGCAGAAGGAAAGCAACTGTTGTCCAGGCCATGGTTTTACTTTGTACTAACAAAAGTTTAAACAAATTTTTTCAATTTCACTTTTCAGTACTCTCCACAAACTACTCCAAAGTCAGTTTGCATGTGAAGTACTGTGTACTGGACACATATAAAAGGCCAGCTTGTCCGCTTAAGTAAAAGTGCTGTTTTCAGCATCATGAAGCTGTAGCACAGGCAGTCGAGATGGAATGGCTCATGTCGAGTTCTGCTAGTGCTGAATCCTAATGAGAAACATGCACACCGCACTGCTGACAGAATGGAGCTGTCATTGCAAATGTGGATGTATGTCTCGTTTTTTGGGAACTGGTTTTCATGTGTTATTCTACAGTACATTCAGGAAGGGTTCTTGACGGCATGTGAATGCAGTCAAGACTTGCTGCTGTGCTAGTCTGGTATGCCTCTCTGCCTGCAGATGAATCATGGCTTGCTAAAACAGTACCGCAGTCCTGCACGAGGCATGGATGAGCTCAACGTGTGAATGCGTTTTTTGTGCCCGAGTGAGAAAGTGTGTTGGTTATCGGTGTGTATGTGTTAGAGCTCAGTTCTGGAACAAATCTGGAACACTTGCTGTTTAGCTTTGTTGTGGATGAAAGTTTGCCAGTCTCCTCTAGTCGTGACTAGAGCGTTGTGCGTTCTCGTGGATCTGTTCATCTTGATTTCCTCTCTCTCTCTCTCTCTCTCTCGAAACGCAAAATAATACTTTACCTTCTGGCAAGACTGAAACATTATTATTGTTCCTTTACCCTCTGAATTTTATTTCTGCAGTCTGGGATGAATGAAGCTTTGTGAGAAATTTTGAAAACCATCCCACTCTCAAATGTCTTAGCGTGGTTTTTCCACTGTATTTCTTTTTTATTGCACATGTATGTCTGTCTTTCGTCCTCTCCCTGATGCTGTGCTGATCTAAGTCCATCCTGATCCTTGACACTGTCGTTCTGCTTGGCAGGGAGCCGCGGAAGATCCTGCTGCACAAGGGTTCCACAGGCTTGGGATTCAACATTGTGGGCGGTGAGGACGGAGAGGGCATCTTTGTGTCTTTCATCTTGGCAGGAGGGCCAGCCGATCTGAGTGGAGAGCTGAGGAGAGGAGACCGTATCCTGTCGGTCAGTATCAGTCCATGAAAATATACATTACCATTCAGAACTCTGGGGTCTGTAACATTTTTCCAATTTGTTTAACACAAGAAGTACAGTGGTAGTCATTTAGACTTTGTTCAAATAAATCCCATATCAGGGTTTCAAAAACTAAATTTTAGGCCTTAAAAAGTCATAAATTCACAAAAAATAGTGCTGTATGTCTTAAATAATTTTAAACAGGTCTTAATTTTAAAAGTTGAAGCAGTGATGTTACCCAATTGGGCAGAAACCCATCCAATCACAACAATTTATCTAAATATTTTATATATACAGTTGAAATTAGAATTATTAGCCCCCCTTTGATTTTTATTATTTTTTCCCCAAATTATGTTTAACAGATCAAGGAAATTTTCACAGTATGTCTGATAATATTTTTTTTCTTCTGGAGAAAATTTAATTTGTTTTATTTCAGCTAGAATAAAAGCAGCTTTTAATTTTTGTAAACAGATTTTGAGGTCAAAATTATTAGCCCCTTAAAGCTATTTTTGTTTTGGACAAAAGAAACATGCTTTGTCTCCAGAACAAACCATCATTATGCAATAACTTGCCTAATTACCCTATCCAGCCTAGTTAACCTAATTAACCTAGTTAAGCCTTTAAATGTCAAGCTGTATAGAAGTGTCTTGAAAAATCTCTAGTAAAATATTATTTACTGTCATCATGGCAAAGATAAAATAAATTAGTAATTAGAAATGAGTTATTAAAACTATTATGTTTAAAAATGTGTTAAATAATCTTCTCTTCGATAAACACAAATTGGAGTAAAAAAATAAACAGAGGGGCTAATAATTCAGGGGGCTAATAATTTTGACTTCAACTGTATATAAGTTTTTTTTATTGCAAAGAGGTGTTTATTTCCCATAGCTGTTGGACAATTTACAGCAATTTTTATATGAATTCCCTAATCAGGAAAATAAAACTAAAAACAGTTACGCAGTTCCTCATGATTATAACAGCAACATATCCCCTTACATAATCTTCAATTTACACAAAAACTATTTACAGAAGACTGCGTGAATGGACATAATATTTGTAAATAGGCATGAAACTTAAGGTTTATAACAGAAACACTTTAGGTTAAATAGGAGTCATACTTGATTCATTTGGACCAAAAGCAAAAAAATATTTTTGAGTATTTGTGTAGTTTTCTTCATATTAAATATACTTTTAACAATGTTAAACTTGTCATTAAAAAAAGAAACATTATGTTGAAAAAAAAAGTCTATACAACTAGAGTTTTCTTGTATGTGGCTAAGAAATAACTACATTTGTTTTTTTTCTTTTTTTTTCCAATTCCATTGGTCCAACCGGGCCATTGCCAAACATCCTTAGACTCTAGCCCAGGGGCGGGCAAACTCGGTTCTGGAGGGCCGGTGTCCTGCACAGTTTAGCTCCAGCTCTAATCACACACACCTGCTTATAGATTTCTAGTGATCTTAAAGACACTGATTAGTTTGTTCAGGTGTGTTTGACTAGTGTTGGAACAAAACTCTGCAGGGACACTGGCCCTCGAGGATCAAGTTTGCCCATCCCTGGTCTAACCCCATCAAAGTCTAAAATCTCATTCATATTGGTCTTAAAAGGGTCTTAAAAAGTCTGACTTGAAACCTGCTGAAACCCTGCATAAAAATACTTACTCCTAGGGCCATTTAAATCAAAGTTGATATCTAACTGCACCATATTGGTGTTTCGTAACATCTAATTTTACAAGGTGGGCTGCTAGCCCAACGCTCAACCTCCAACCTGGAAGACCAGGACATACATACATACACTACAGACAATCTAGCTTACCCAATTCACTTATAGCACATGTCTTTGGACTTGTGGGAAAAACCGAAGCACCCAGAGGAAACCTAAGCGAATACAGGGAGAACATGCAAACTCCACACAGAAATGCCAACTGACCCAGCCAAGGCTCAAACCAGTGACCTTCCTGCTGTGAGGCGACAGTGCTACCCACTGTGCCGCCTATAATTATAGTACCCAACCCTAAATGTGTGTATAGTTCCTTCTAACATTTATTAAAATTACTAAACACAAAAGAGTTATGAGTATTTCCACATTGAATGGCCGTAACTTTTTCCTGTGTCTTTGAATGTGCAGGCCTCCGTTGCCAAGAAACTTTGTGCTAACTATAACATAACTTTCTCATAGCAAAACATATAACTTTACTTCAGACATTTTTGCTGCAGTGAATTTTTTTCTCTCACAAACCTAATGAATAAAGTGAGGAAAGAACCTCCCAGCAAACAATTTTGTTTTTAATAGACGTGACGTCTAATAGACATCTAAACGTAAACAGCTTGGCTAAAACAAGCCTAAACTTGGGCTGTCAGTGAAAATCTAATAGACATCCAAGAACAGCCCAAAACTAGACTAGTCATCAAATAGAGAGATTACACAGACTTTATATGTGTAGTCATTCATTTCTGACTGACTTTAGCAGTCTAAAAACGTGTAGGCAATCATAGGCTATATTTACCTTACTAAAGGTAATGTTTTCATGGACATTACTTCCGGGCGACACAGTGACTTAGTGGTTAGCACTGTTGCCTCACACCAAGGAGGGCATCCGCTGTGTAAAACATATGCTGAATAAGTTGGCGGTTCATTCTGATGTGGTGACCTCTGGTAAATAAAGGGACTAAGCCGAAGAAAAATGAATGAATGAATGAAATTACTTTCTAAATTAAGACGATAGACATTTAAAGCTTAATTCTAAAATCTCAGTATAGACCATTTTGAGAGATGTAAACAATAATAATCATCCTAACATATTTTGTGTTTTACATTTTTAATTTACGTAGTCTCCGAGGATCCTAAAACACCCACATATTGATGAATAATGTTATGGCAGCTGTTTTAAAGTTACGTTATGATTGAATTGCCTTTTGTTAGTTATGAAATAGTTTGGTGACAAGCAGGAAATGTTCATTGGCCAATGACATGACCACATTAAAGTGGTCTAAAAAATAAAATGTAAATATAATGACAAAATGAAATTCAGTACTGACTTATATGAACAGTCAGAATGACCTCTATGGCCATTTGAGTAGTTCTGGTGGTTACAGTAGATATATTTTATTCAAGGCTGCATTTATTTAATCTATTGTAAAACAGTACTATTGTTAATTGCTAAAACAAAGCGCTCTTTTCTATGTTATTATGTTTTAAAAATACAAGTAACTCATCTGATGGAAAAGCACTAATACTCCAGTAATCACTTGCTCATTCAGAAATTAACCTAATCTGATGTGGTGCTTAAGAAACATTTATAAATGTTGAAAACAGCTAATAAAAATGATATATTTCATGGAAGCTGGATACATTCATATAAGAAAAAACATTATTAATATTGCTTTTGATTAATAAAATGCATGATTGAATAAAAAATAATCATATTAACCCAAAATATTTGAGCCATGTTAGGGCCAGACAGAATCTGCTGACATTTTTTTTTTTGCTATTTCTGTGTAGAATTAAAAAAAAAAATCTGGAGATTTATGCAGAATTATTTTAGGAGTATCATACCTAAAAACTTAATATATTAAATAAAAACAATAGCTTTTTAAAAAATTTTGTTTAACATCTACAATGCAATTCCATCTAGATCCACTTAATTGGTAAACAAAGCAAGTTTCTCATATAATATATATACTAAAAGTCAGGAAATATTACTTTACAAACTGTATTGCAAATAAATCAAATTAACGCTTTCATATAAGTCAATAATATTACTGAAATTAATAAAAATTTTTTTTAAAAAGATACACATTTACACAAGTAAATAAATAGACTCAATGATGGGCTAAAAATCTGCAAATTTCTCTGCACACAGATTCCATGTGGGTCTAGCCATAATATTATGGATTATAAAAAAGCAATTTTCATGATTCCTCAAACATTCTGCTCTTTAAAATGATATGAAGTCTTATAGCTTATATTACATCATGCAATTTACATGAGTGTGTGGTGTGTGTGGGATGTTGTTTTAATCTGTTACCATGGTATTGTCCCAGGTGAATGGAGTAAACTTGCGCAACGCTACCCATGAGCAGGCTGCAGCTGCACTGAAGAGGGCTGGACAGACGGTCACCATCATTGCCCAGTACAGACCAGAAGGTAGTGTAGCTCTTTCACTTTTTGTCCATGTTTGTCAGTGCAAATGAAATTGAGCTCCCTATAGAACAGGAAATGAGATTGACAATGGGAATGATTTGAGCTCAAGCATGCATGCAAGTTAGCTCTTTGTTGCATCCTAAAACAGCCATAATTTATATAATTTAAAGGAGTCATGAGCTGAATTTTGCTATTTTATAATGTTAGCAAGATTTTTGCATTGAAAATCATCATTTGTTAGTAAATGTCCTCAACAGTTGTTTTTTTTTATTATCCTGGATTAACAAGAAAGTTCTTATAAGTTATTGTATTGAGACCTCTTATGACAATGAATCTAAGTGAATTTGATTTTCAATATGTGACCCGTTTAAGAGTAATAGAAAATAATTTAAGATAGATCAAACCTTAAATTCGGAGTGAACCTTTCTGCTTTGAAATATTACATATGGTTGTTGCACCAAGACCCCAAACTGCTTTCTCTTTCTCCACACACCCATGTGTGCCTGTTGTGTCTTGCCTGCTTCTGTAATCAGTTCATCACAGTGACAAACGCTGTATATCTCTTTAAGAAATGTGAATTACTTAGCCTCACCTAGTTTATGAGAAAGGCTGCTTATTTGCAAATGGGGACATTCGGTTACTGATGATTGGTTTCATTAGAATAATGGTGGCAGGAACTTATTTTTGACAGTCTATCAACTAAGCGTGGAGAAACAGCCCGACTGCAGTTGTAGTTTTACTAAAGTCCCTGGAACGAATCGTTTATTGATTTGGATCTTTTGAAGAGTCATACGACGCTTGGTTCACCATTCCAATGTCAGCACTTTATAACTAAACAATAATGTTTAGGTTCTAAGTGATATTTGAAATGAATATCTGTTCCAACAAACTGAACTAGCACTCGTGAACTTATAACAATAAATATGAAAATGGCTTGAAATGAACGTTAAGATGTTGTCTTGTGTCCTACGCCGGCTTCAGTTCAGTAGCCATGCGATGATGTAAAAGAACTGTTCATAAGAGTCGATTTGTGGAAATGACTCGGAATTCCCAACAGTTCACTCGCTTGAATGAAAGCGCTGGGATGAAACGGTGCCAGAAGTGGGAGGGTTCAACAACCTGAGAGAGAAAAAAGAGGGGGAAAGAACTAAATGGACTACAACCACAGTGGAGGAAGCGCCTGAGTTTGCTCTTTATAAATCGTGTTTTTGGCGCAGGGTTAGTTTTTTTGCTGGATTAATATGAAAGTCTCTCTGACTGAAGATATGGAGTAAGCGCGCGCCGGTCGCGTGAGCGGGACGGACTGAAATCCCGCGTCTCGAGCGCGAATGAGACTCGGTTTTAAAGAAGGTACCGCTGTTGGAATGGGAGGAGCGAAGCAGGACAGACTGAAACATTTTCACTAAAATATTTGCTTTTTATTTACCTTTCGTTTTGAATCGAAACGATTTTTCTCCTCGCGTCGATGTGCAGCATTTACTAGTTTATTCTCTATTGTTTGACTTGTTTTTTACCACATAAAATGTGTTTTGGAGTGAGTTGGAAGTCGAGAGGTTGAGCTGAACACAAGCGCCTTTAGCCTCCGCCGGGTAAGATCACCTCAACTCATATTCATAAAGCATGTTCAGGAAACATCTGTGTAAAATAGTAAAACTATCAGAGGGGTTTTATTTCACCCTAAACTGACAACAGAAAGACTTTTGTGTCTTATCGTGCTGTTCTGAAAGGGAAAGCGTCGCTGTTTGTTCCCAATGCGTTTCTATGGGCTCGAGTTACATGTTCAGCTCAGTGTAGTGTGTTTCTAGATTAATGCAGATCTTGAAAAGCATGTAAACCACTTGTTTAGACGCCCAGTCGTTTTGCTGACGTTATGAATATTATGTCTAGTCTACTTTTTTTTGTTACCTACGCTGGTTGTGTTGCTGAGAGTCTCGGGTAACGTTAGGCTGTTTGCTCGAGGATTCTGATAGAAATGTTTCACCTTAAACCAGCAAGAATGGGGCATCACAACAAAAAAGGCGTTTTCATTCATTACGAGGAATAGTGTAGTTCACCTTTGAACTAAAGTTTAGTTCTGTCAGAGTGATCCGGGGTATTGTGCCCTTTGAGGCCTGAACCTTCGCCGTCATGTTTGTTTTATGTGGAACTTCCTGCAGAGCTCAGGACAGGTGCAGGGAAGGGCTCATTCAGGAAGTCTCTTTACCTGCAAAAAATGTCAAACATTACTGTCATTTTGAAGTTATGTTGAGTCTTAAACAGAAAAACTTGAAACTATTTACTATATATCAAAAGTGTTGCTGCGGCTATTATTTATGATTTGACATTTTCAAGTCAGTTCCCTAGATCATGAATTCCATGCGTCAAAGTTGGTGTTAACAAATTGTGAACACTAAAAAGGAGGCTTGGAAACATCTAAATTTCACAGAGGACAGGAAATCGATTAAAGACTTTGACAAGATTTGAAGTGCACCAATATCCTATGTAACTTGTGATATTTAGTATGTCAATGCATAGTTCATTCTTTGGTTGTCTATGTGAGCAATGACAGGAATGTTGCTGTGTTAGTTATCTGTTTCGGCATGCTCTCCCCCATATTCCTCCTTAGTCTGACACTCCTGCAGTATAAATGGACTGCCTCTCCCTCCCAAGGGCTCTTACGTCTACATAGAAATAGAAGTGACACATTAATTTGTGCCAGAATAGCTCAATGAATTAGATGGGGAACCAGCACTATGAGAGGCATTACGGCTTTGTTCATGTGTTAGAAAGGGGCAGAGCCTGTCTGTAGACTGGCTTCTGTTAAAATTTGAACTTCTCTTGTCATACATTAACTTAGGGGGCAGTGGTTGAACTTGAGCTGTGAATTATGTTAGCCTAGTACAGTCAAACATACAAAATACATTCTCTTATTTGGCTTTCGGATTATTTAATGAACTCTCAGTTAATTAAATTGTTATTTGTTAACAGTTCATTCATGCATGTGTTTCAGTTTTATGAATACTTATTTTTTCTCTTTCTCACAGTCAGTCACAAACTTTTATTCAGATTTGAACAGCGGATGCATAAAAACAAGTATGATTGCACTAGCTCTCCACAAACTTGCATTTTTTATTCTGGCCTACATTAACTTTTCAGGCCCCATTTTAGTCCTTCAGAATGATGTTGTCATTTAAATGAACGGCCAAAATGCATAAGTTGAGAATGTTGTTGTATAACCCAACCCCTTAGAATTACAATGGTGACGCCCAAACCATAATGGGGGTGGATTTGTTTGATTTGCTAAGCAACCATCTCAAATACACTAGCAACCACTAGCCAACCATATAAATTTCCTGAAGGAACAGTCAGATTGTTATGCACCACTGCATAATGTTTGTTCAATAGCTGTAAAATGTTTTCGTAAGTTCTTTTTATTTATCTATTAATTTTGATAGTGTGTTGGCCAGATATAATTATTATTGCGTATGTAACATTTAAATGACACTTGTTAGTATCTATTGCTCACTTTAAGTTAATCAAAAGCAATAAATATGGTAACTAGGCATGGGCTGGAATAAGATTCTCACGGTACATAAACCTTGAAAAAAAAATCATGGTTTCATGTTATCACGGTATTGTAATTGCTGCTCCAAAATAAGTTATTTTTAAATGTCTGGGCAAAAAACAACTACCCCCCCACCCCCCTTTCTTTCTGTTGGAGATAATGTTGCCCTAAAAAACTAAATACAAGGGTCGTGAAAAACATGCAATAAATAAATAAATAAATAAAAACAGAAAAAAATGTACATGAGCAATTTCATGCAAATGTCAACCTTGCTTTGAAAAAAATTTTCAAATGCAGTTTCTGCATTTTTTGTGTAAGCATATATTTTACAGAGCTTCAAAAATATCTCTGTTAGTGTTCTCAAACTATGATATTTGATTTACCACAATCACACAAGTGGCAATTTCACATCTGTCACATCCATAACAGAGCTTTTTCCTCATAAATGCAAAAAATGTCAAATAAATTAAAATCACTCATTTTTGTTCTATAGTGAGCCGACTCTTATCCTTTTGATTAACATTGTTTCTTTGTTTTGGGTTGAATAGTTTAATTTACAGAAATTCTACAAAGTATGTGGTAGAGTGTAAACTCACAAACTTTTTTTTTGTCACATCCATAGCGCATGCTTATTTTCCTCATTTAAAATGTAAAAATTGTTTACATATTGATATTTTTCTGCTCCTATAACTCTGTGGTTAGTTCTGTAAGATATAAATCAATGTTTTAATATAATGTGAACATACAGTATACTTTGTTTGTGAATTTATGTTTTGAGAATTTACAAATGCCATATACATAATGCTGGAATTGCTCACATATACCTAAGGAACAATAAAGCAGAAATTTTTGGCGGTTTTAAAACCTTGAATTTTTCAAACCGTGGTAAACCTTGAAACCGGTTATCGTCCCATGCCTAATGGAAACACTGTTAAATCTGATCTTTAGCGAAACACAAAATGAATATGGATTTCTCATACTGTACATTGCTGTAATGAAAGGTTTTCCACAGTTTTCACTTGTTAAATCAGAAGACAGACTGTAAGTAAAGTCTTGTTTGTCGCATTAACCTGAACGTGTGTTAAGACAGTTGTGATAATCTTAATGCTGTCCCCAATACATGCTTTCACATTAAAAGCACATGGCTGCAATGTTATGTAACTGCATTGACAAAGAGGCAGCCTTCAGCCAATCCCCACTCCTCAAAAATAAAAGCTCTGCTCATAATGAAGGCAAGTGAGGCCGTGTGAGTGAGGCAGAGCTGGCCCAGATTCTCCCCTGATCTTCTGTTGACGGGTTATGCTTTACTGGGACCTTGTGCTTTAGCCATTAGCCTTTGTATGTTGGGAACTGTGTGTCTGACATGCTGTAAGGACCCAGCTGTCTGTATCATCTGTCATATGTGTACATCACCAGTAGATTGTCTGACCAATGACCAGTGAGATTAATTACTTTGTGCTTTTTTTGTATAAAGTGAAGGCTGTGCGTTCTAGTAATGTATAAATACTAATAATAGTTATCAAAAACTGTCCCAGAGTTCTGTTTGATTTGGCTGTTTCTGTTTTTCACTGTAATTGTTTTTCGATAAGTTGTCTTGGTGTTTCCTTCCACCTCTCTGCTTGGATGTTCCCCTGGTTACAGTCAGGTGGTGTCAGGTTACTTTACCTTACCCTGTCATTCCAGCATGTTGTTAACCCATTTGTGAAAGACAGGGCGTTTACTGCAGAGGTCCCTGCAGCTATGGTTTCTGCTGATATTGAACTCCCAGTTTCGGCTTTGCTCTGAGCTTTAGGCTTGGAGGAACTGCTGTTATGAGATTTGTTTCATATCATCATAAAAAATGGAATTCCTGTCTCGGTTCGGTTTTTGGAAACTCAAATTTGGAATGTCAATGTTCAATTGCAGGATACAAGGTTGCAGAGAAGTTCCTAAAGGGCACCTATGATGGAAATCATCCTTTTAAAGCTGTTTAAACAGAACTGTGTGTAGTTTGTCCACAGTCGCGTTGGGGTGATGTAAATACAATAAGTCTCTTTTTTTAATTTCCTGACGTTAAAAATAGGATCCAAATCCCCACCGATTTGAGGCCCAACGCAACGTGATGCAGGAGTGTGGTTTCTCCCGCCCACCGATTTGATTGACTACCGCGTATTAACTTGTCTCTGTAGTAATGCGTAGAATCATAAGACAGGATGTGCGCAAAGCAACTAGGATTAAAAGATCTGTTCAGCTAGCTGTGGTCATCAATCATCATCCAATGTGATCAAGAATGTGCATGTTTGTAATGAATTACAGCAATTTTATCGTCTTTATCACCACAGCCGCATGTCAGTAAATGAAGACGCCTCAATCCTGGTTTGTGGACGTTAAATCAGGTTTATTTTTGTACATTAACATAACAGATATCTATACATTGGTGGATATTAATGTGTATCCTGTCAAAGTTCCCATGCAAATACAGTGCAAAGTTAAACGTGCACGCTAAATGTTTGTGTGTGTGCTTGAACAGGGCTCGAAATGAACCTTTTTGCTTGGTAGCACCGGTGCTCCTAACTTTAAAAATTTAGGCGCATCAGCCAAAATTTAGTCGCACCCACCAATTAAGAGCACCGTTACTACAAGTTTTATACAAACATATTTATTGTATTTGAAATCAACACTAAACAAACTAACAAGCAATATATATATATATATATATATATATATATATATATATATATATATATATATATATATAAATGCAAGCGTGAGGAACATATGTCTTAACGAAATCCTGTTATCACAAGAAAATAGATTTTTATAACAGAACTGAGTGAGCAAAAGATACATGGAGCGCTCACCTGCCCTGCACGCACTGCTTAAATGAATCTGTTAACGGTATAACTCTGCTGTTCTCACAAGTGCTGTCTGATATTGCACTAATGCTTTTGACACATATTGTAGCTTATTATATGCATACATGTTAATACCAATACCGGTTTATTTTTATAAGTAGCGATATTAGTTTACTAATATATATAATATACTAATATAATATAAGCCCGTTTGCGATGGTGTACGTGGTGTTCAATTTGACATATAGCTGTCCCTTGCATGGCGGACAGCATCTGGCGATTATATGAAGGATTAAACAGAAGCTCTCGTGCTAGATGTGGAAAACAGTTAAGTTACCTGAAAACTCCATCCCACAGACTTTTTATAGCGGACTTGAAGCCAATGGAAGTCTTCTACTCTTGGAAAAGTGTAGATAGTGGATTAACATTTAGCACATGATCACTACTAAGACGTTTCAGTATTTATAACTTTAGATGTCATGGTTTCTAAAACAAAATCTGTCAGTGTTATCTTCATTCTCCTCTTCAGCGCTTTACAATTTTTCGCGGTAGTAGCTCTCTCTGTCATCCCAAGCCAGAAGCGCTGACTGAGTGATTGACAGCTGATATTAACCAATCATTCGCGTTCAGTGCTAGAGCAGTGGGCCAATAAGAAGAGCGTGAAGGCGGGGCACACATTACGGACTTGGATTTGTTTACTGCAGCAAGTTGACATGACAACAGTTTTAAACCATTCCCAAACGCTGCGTTTCGCGTTGCAAGTGCAGAGATGCATTCTGCGTGAATGTCTCCCGAATCCACACATGTGGTGAACATTTTACAGTAAAAACTGGTCGCACATAACAATTTTAAGCACTCACAGAAATGCTCCCAAATATATTTTAAGGTCGCATAGATAAAATTTCGGGCGCATATGCGACCAAAATGGTCGCAATTTCGAGCCCTGTTGAACTCTGTAATGACATAATGTGGCAACTCCACAACAAATACATCAAATAATAATTGGGGAAGTTCTTACTGTAGTATTTCTGAATAACGTTATGTGAGATCTGCTTCCTTCATGTCTGTCACTGTGCTGTTTATCTGACGAAACCGAGGCGGAGACTGAGGCACACTCTGAAAGACACGTGGGAACTAGCATTAAAATCGCAGGCCACAAAAACAGCTACAGTGTTTAGAGTAAAAAATCGAATATTCTGAAAGCTGTAAAAAATAATCTAATAGGTGTTTTGAGCTGAAACTTTACAGGCACATTCTGGAGACACAGAAGAGTCATCTTAAATCTTGAAAAAGGTGTAAAATAGGTGCCCTTTAAGTGTTTCTTATGAACGATCTACATTGGTAAATACCAGTGCTTAGGAAAACAATAGTCTTTCCTTGAGTACTTGTTATCCTTGTTATTCAGTATTCATGTGTCCATGTGATTCGGTTGCTAAGCTTGTGAGTTACCCGACCACAGTGCAGCAGAGGTGTGCACCTTTAATTAAAAGATCGCTGCCCAATCAGCCATCATGCTTCAGTGCTGCTCCCTGAATCCAAAGCCTTGTTCTCAATGAAAAACGATTACAGTCCGACATTTGTTGGAGGTTTTCATTCCATTACACTGAATAGTGCATGTTCTACTTAATTAATTATGCATAATTAATTATCTGGCAGGAGATATTAGCGTATAGCTCATGCAGATACATGATTAATATCCATCTGTTCTCCAGGTCATTAATCAGTTCTCAATAAGCTGCTGAGCTTTCCTTCTCTGCCCTGCTCCACAAGCACCTCCACTCATAAAACCTGGAGCAAAGCCCGGAATATCACTGTAAATATAGGTGTTGCTGACGGATTGTGTGCCTTGTCTCTTTCCAGAATACAGTCGTTTTGAGTCCAAGATCCACGACTTGAGGGAGCAGATGATGAACAGCAGCATGAGCTCTGGCTCCGGCTCCCTCCGCACCAGTGAGAAACGCTCCCTCTATGTCAGGTATCTTCATACTTGTATTCATTCATTCAGTCTTGCTGATATTTAGAATGGCTCAATATGTGTGAGAGTGCTTTTTCAATCAGAGGACGATTGATTGAGGCATATTAGGGAAACATATTTTAAGCAAGATGTACATTTATAGTTATTACGTGATCAAGTGATGTATTTAGCGGTGTATTGGTTCTCATGGATTAAATTCCTGTAATGGATTGAAGTCCAATAATGTTTCTGAAAAGAAGTTATTGTGCAGCCTACTATCAATGTCTTATCAATCCAATCATAGACACTGAAGTATTTACATATTTATATTTTAACTGCAACTTGGCTTGACAGTGTATTATAAAGAATTTTAGGATACATGGGACAATATTATGTGTTCCTGGACGACACAGTGAGTGTAAAATAAATTCCAGATTACTACGTAACCATATGCAAATGGTACATTTAAGAACTAAGAGAAATGACAAATACAAGCTCAACTTGTAAAACAGTTTTATGTCCTGTTTCCTGTGACTTACTGAATAAACATGGTCTCCATGCTAGAAGACGGTGTTATGGGGTACGTTTAACTGCATCTGGCACTGTGTATTTTGATCCTGTGCATGGCACTGTAAAATCAGTAATCTGGCAGGTCGTTTTTGGACTTTCAGAGATCTACAAGCATACGAATCTTACAGCAGGATGAGAAGGCAAATAGACTTTAGTAAGCACTCAGTGGATACAATGCTGAATGCAATTCTTATGTATGAATTTGGGTATGAATCCAAATGAACATCTAAAAAAGTTCAGAAACTGTTGAGAGCAGGCACCAATCAAGCATGAGGAAATGAAGCAATTTTGGTCATTTTACTCAAGTCAATCGAACCAAAATATTACCGGTTGATAAATGCATATATGCAAAGTGTATCAAATAAGATACTTCTAATATCTGCTTTCATTATCATATAATTTATCAAGCTAAATGTAAAAGGAATAAAATTGTGCGTGTACATGTGTAGAGTGAAAGAGTCATTACATACAGTGAGTGGACATGTTTAGTAGCAAGATCTCATATTGTAAAAATCTGTTGACGTTTTGATACTTTCTAAAGTAATGGGGAGGGTGTTTGACAGTGGTGTTAACTTTACATATTTTGTAGTAAGTCTAACTATGCGTGTATTAAGTACATAATCTGCCTAATGAATGTGTGGCCTAGTTCTGACGGTGGCTTGCACCTAGTGAGCTGTGCTTAACAGCATTCAGAAGCAGCAGGTTCATAAGTCAGCTGACCGCACATGTTATTGTTATGTGTGCGATTTTAAGGCGTTTTCTCATTCCTATGAATTCAGTGATGAGATGCATGTGTCAGAACAGTACAGCCATGTCAGTCGGCGCTGATTTTGTACTGCAATACTCCATTTTAAAACAGGCCTGATGTTGCCTTGATTTAGTTGTGAAACTATGCATGTCTGGTTCAGTGGGCTTGTAATTAGTATGTCCTAGGAGAGAGGTATGTAGAGAAACAGGAAGACCTGCTCTACTGGTTTTTCTTCTTTCATTTGAATTACCTGTCTGACAAGGTAAAAACCTTCAGCTTTGAACACAATGCCTGACTGTGTTGCCAAACTTAATGTCATCTGCCATCTGGTTTTCCTCTCATGATGTTTCTGGGATCCTTTATCACTATTGTGCCATTATCTGCTTAGTCACTAGTTGTTCTAGAGCACAGGTGTCAAACTCAGTTCCAAAAGGGCCGCAGCTCTGCACAGTTTAGTTCCAACCCTAATTAAACACACCTGATCAAACTAATTGAGTCCTTCAGACTTGTTTGAAACCTACAGGTAAGTGTGTTGGAGCAGGGTTGGAACTAAACTGTGCAGGGCTTCTGCCCTTTTGGAACTGAGTTTGACACCCCTGTTCTAGAGGTACTGACTCCGCAGGGATGTAGCTATGATACAAAAATAAGGAGTCAGTAATATAAATGTTGGCTTAAGGATGTTAGCAGCGGTGTTGGTTTACATGATTAATAGACTTACATGATTTTAAAAAGTTTGAAAGTAAGTGCAATTGTATGTGGGTAATTGGTGTTTATAAAATTTTGTTGTGTTAGCTGTTTTCTTTGCATAGCCTGCAAGCAATGAAGTGTATAAATACAGTATCTACACAGTAGGGCTGCACGATATTGGAAAAACTGACATTATGACATATTCAGTATAATTTTGCTTGATGTAATGAATGGCAGCAGTATTAGCAGTCTGTGTGTGTGTGTACAGGTATATATAATCTTTTTTTAAAGTTAAAACGTCATAATTTTTTTGCGCATAAATGCTTTAGATGTGCACACAATCACATCCTTAAAAACACAAACACAATCAACTATGGTTCCTGGGGTCCGTTCTTCGTATGTGGATTATTCAGTTAGCTGGATTTGGATGTTGACGATTTGACATGATCCAGGATCGTTTCGTTCTTCAAAGCTGATCTGAGAGTTGTTGTCATAGCAACAGTTCTGCTAGCTCAAACCTGAGGTTGAGCAGGTTCAATTCATATAAACAGGATTAGATTGGGTCAGTTCAAGCAAAGATAATAGAGAAAGTACCGAATTATGATATTTTCTTATAGTAGTAGTTATATACACTTGGAAAAAATAGTTAAAAAAATTAAATATATACATATATATATACAAAGTTATAGTTATTAATAAAATAAATAAAGTTATATTAACAAAACTTATGCAATCTGCACCCACAAAATGAAAGTACAAAGAGAAAATTTATTGATAATAACTTTTTAGATCGCTTTAGTACAATTTGTGTATGATAATAGAAATGCAGAATATGTGACTTTTTAAAAAAAAGAAATAATAATGCAGTCATGAACATGTTTTGACAGTAAATATGCCAGTGATTATGCTTCACAAAAGTTGCAGACGCCTTTACCAATATCAAAATGCTTTGGAAACGTCCAGTTATTCCATACAGCGAACGGCTACTATAATAAAGAAAATATTTTATAAATGTAGAACTAAATACATTGATATGCATTGAAATACATGATAAATACTCTTGACACATGAAAGTGTAAAGCCTGCAGTTCACAACATATGTGAAAAGTTATTGCTTGTCATATTTAACAAACCGTCGACTGCTAATTTGATGTAATTTTGCTCACATGGATAATTGAATATTAATCAGATGATGTCATTACGCTGCTGTGCCGTCAGCCAATCGTTGCATTGCTGATCATGATTTCGAGGATCGATAGATCTGTCCTTCACAACACACGCAGCGATCTCAGATCAGTTCATCCAGACATACTAATCTGATTCACGAACTTGTTTGAAGAACCAAATTAGCCAGAGATCAGTTATCAAGATTAAAAGATCCAGGATCGGCAAAATCATCTTAGATCATTTAAGCGAGGTACGAAGAACGGACCCCTGGTCAACTATAATCCCATCCCAACATTGCAGATCCTGCGATGTGACTATTGTAGATGCACACATTGCGATATCTATGTTAAATCGATATATTGTGCAGCCCTATTACACAGTACTGTTCAGAAGTTTAGGGTAAAACCTCATTCTTGCTATCAGTGACTTTGTAGCTGCCTTTCACCCTGGGTGGTGATGGAAGTTGCTAATGGGCATTCCAACCTTCAGGCTGCTTGGGTAACGAAAATCACTCTTCATTTGCATTAAGTTGAAGGATTATCAACTTTGTCCTAATTCAATACCTTTACTAAACATGAACACCACCATTAAATGTCCTGACTTATTAGATCAAACTGGCTGTATTAAGAGCATAATCATCATAACCATAATCATATTAAAATGTTTGGCATACACCAGATTTATTTGCAATGGAGTATATACACAGCTAGTGTTTTTCAGCCAATTATAAACTTCCAGTGACAGCTTTACAGCATCGATGTTGTAATTAAAATCTAATCAGTTTAACAGACTTAAGAATTAATTTAGTTGTTCAAGTGCAAAATGAGATGAAAGACCGTTTAACCAGTAGGCTAGTACAGAAACTCTATTGAAAATACTGTGGTAAAATAAGAGGTCATATTTTAAAGACATGACGGGGGAAATTTTTAATTGAATGTAGTGCTTCTTCTCTGGTCGGAGACCCACTTCATATTGTATTTTTATTAGCAGTGAAGATCACTGATTTTAAAAGAAATAAACGTGGCATTTTGTAATTGAAAAGACAGTTCACCGGAAGCCCTGGGGCTGGCTAACTGAAAATTAAAAGTATGTGTGCATATACCCCAATAATAGAAGTTTAAATACGGGTATATTAAATTGGCAGTATTAAAAATAGCTCTGCTGCCACCAAATAAATTGCTTGCATTCCTGTTGTAAATTGCACTCTTGTTATGGAATCTGATATGAAATAAAGGATCAAACATCATAAAGCTGATACTTAGAAATTCCTTGATTGGTGCTAATTTCCAATGTTTGGGTCAACAAAAAAAAGTTTCTCTGTCAATTATATACTGTTCTTTTAAACTTTCTGTTAATCTAATAGATACAATTTCATTATATTAATGTGAACATAATGTTTGATCAAATAAGTGCAGCCTTGAGCATAAAAAATGTACTAATCACACACTTTTGAATGAGAATGTGAATTGTACTCTGATGGAAAATGCTATAAAATGGATGCTATACCTTTGGCAGGAAGTGTACTGTAGACTGTTTTTAGTGAGAAACCATCTGCTAAACAAATTTAAGCAACAAAAAGGTACAGATGTCCAATGATGTACTGTTGTTTCTGTATGTGTGTGCACACACACCCACCCTTTACTCAAACACAACAGATGTTTTACAATGAAACCTGAACATCCACTCCTCTAGCACTCTGTTGATGTACACACTCTTTCGTTTGGTTTTCCCAGGGCTCTTTTTGACTATGACAGGACCAGGGACAGTTGCCTCCCCAGCCAGGGTCTGAGTTTCTCCTATGGGGACATCCTGCATGTCATCAATGCCTCGGATGATGAGTGGTGGCAGGCACGGCTGGTTACACCCCATGGGGAAAGTGAGCAAATTGGGGTCATACCAAGCAAGAAAAGGTACAGCACTGCCAACAGGCCCGGGTAGAATTACAACATTTCACTTGTAGTAATGGAGTCTGTTCTCTGCAAGTCACACATTCTTTATTTTTCGATACACAGGGTGGAAAAGAAAGAGCGCGCACGGTTAAAAACAGTCAAATTCCACGCAAGGACGGGCATGATTGAGTCCAACAGGGTGAGTGAGTCGTCGAATGGAGGACTCATGGGAGCTGCCCCACTTCCCCTGAGTGTGGGAATTGGTGGTTTCTCACAATGTCCTGCAGGCTCCTGTTACTGAGCATCTCATTTCTCATAGTGACACACAAACAAAATCGTAGGATAACCAACATGCACTCTACCATCATAATCAGCTATGATGGTTCAATCAATACTCCTCAATCCTGGTCCTGGAGGCCCTTTCCCTCACCACACACCATTAGTGGAGTGCTCAATGATTATGTTTACATGGACATCAGTAAAATCAAATGAGTTATCTTCATCTAAACAAGACAATATGATTAAGGTGTTTATAAGTGTTGCTTTTAGAACGTTCCTTTCATTTTACGTTACAATACATAGATTGATAAATGTCGTTACACGTCACCACACTATCCAAAGTTTTCTCTGGAGTTTGATATAATTCCCGGTATTTAATTTTACATTTTTCAACTTCAGTTTCACTTTCATTCAGCAGCATTTCATTCATGCTCCTGTGGCAAACTCTGAGCTACTGGATGAGAGTATGAAGTAAGGACTGCTGGGATAGAGTTGGTTTAATTAAATGATCACCAAAGTGGTTCTTTAAGGCCGATTTCAGCAACAAACAAACACACACACACACACACACACACACACACACACACACACGTTTGCTCCGGCACAGCCTTCACGTGGTCACATACCCCTCGCCTTGGCTGACGTGGAAGCACACAAAAAATGTAACCGCATGTCGCAATGACGCATAGCGCAAGCTCTGTGATTGGTCGGCTTGGTAACTGTCATGAGTATGGGTGGGGGCGGAGGCGAGAGTGGCGCGAACCTGTTGGAGCGAGGGGTTGTTTAAGTGTTGAGTCCTGTGAAGGAGCTCCAGACGGAAACTTTAGTTTTGTGTTTACCTTATGATTAAAGTTGTTGCACGTCCGACGGTTTCGTAACTATTTGTACATTTAAGGTAGTGTTTAAAAAAAACACACTGAGGAAGGCATTGTGCCAAAACGTTTGTGTTTTGTATTACACGAAGAATGTAAAATATAAACTGTAAGAAGCAATTATTTGATTAGTGTGAATCATGACCCTTTTGAACAATAGTATTTAGAAAAAATAATAATAAAAAAACGCCAGCTAGCGTTTCGGAAGTGTTATTGCAGAGCTACACAAACAGCATGCAGAAGTATAAATGCACGGCAACGCGCAAGGCATGCGTCGGGTTCACGTTGTTCACTCACCACAGAAGTATAAACCAGCCTTTAATGACTGGTTGAGTGCAGAGAATGCACTGTCAAACAGTCATGCATGTATGGACTATCCTATAGATAAAAGCATATCATGTCAGTACTGCATTTCAATAATGCGATGAATTTGATTTATATTTATTACGATTATGTCTTTAGTCGGATTCAGTTTATCAACAATCCCCGTTTACATGATAGACCCTTAATCAGAGTAGGGTCTTAATCTTATTTAAATCTGAGTATTGGTGTCCATGTTAACCTACCGAGTGACCTCAATTGGCTCTCTCGAACAAGGATTGAGAACCAGTGTGTTTAGATGCCCATTCTTTTCATTGTAACTTAAAGGAATAGTTCACCCAAAATGACAGTTGTCATTTATTTGCTTTCATGTTGTTCCAAACCTGTATGATTTTCTTTTTGTTTTTTCATGGAACACAAAAGGAGATGTTTGGCAGAATGAACGACATAAGGGTGAGTAAATGATGAGCAAAAATGTATCTTTTTTTGGGTGAACTAATCTTTTAAGATTGAAGTGTGTAATCAATTATTTAGGATTCTCAAACTAAAAGTGTGATGCTTTGAATTTGAATGAAAGAAACCTACAAATTCTGCACAAACACTTGCCCCAAGGTTTGTGGTCAATAAGGTTTCTGTTAATAGATAAAAACTGACAGTAATCATTTATAAAAGTATTGTAACATTGATGCAATTACACACTTCACCTGCCTTTTTGCTGTCTGCATACATTTTTTGTGCAGTCGAAATATTTCACACGTCTGTCATTTTTCAATTCCATATTCCCTTTGTTTCATTTACAGTTCAAACTTTATTAAAATGAGCCATTTTCTGAAAGAGAAAAGCATCCAAACCACGTTTACATTCATTATCCTCACAGTTTTTGCGATCACACGTCGTCTTTGGTTTTGTTTTTGCATGCGTGCTGTGAATATCATTGAAACCCGTTTTGTTTTTGTGTTTGTTTCATTCCTCATCCCCATTCCCTGACCGTCGGCCCGTCTCCACGCAGCCAGTCAAGGTGAAGCGCAAAAAAAGCTTCAACCTATCGCGCAAGTTCCCGTTTTACAAGAGCAAGGAGAATATAGTGCAGGAGTTGGTGGAGACTGAACGTAAGTATGAGCGTGGGACGAGGGCTCTGATGCTGTCCTTCATGCTTCATCCTGTCACTCACCCAGGAGATGGCTCCCGATTGGCTCTTGACCTTTCTGTGTGAAAACTGAGCCAATCGGGGCCTCTCTGGCCTTAGTCTTGCTCGGAGGGGCATTTCGGCACTTCCTACAGGTGTGAGGTTGCACTAACACTCAAAGGCTGTGCTCGAACATCTGTCAGTGTCAGAGCTGCTCCCTTAAGCATTTACACATACAGTTTGATTCTTATGAATCTGCATGGAAAGCCCCATACTTAAATTACAAATGGACAACCCAGATCTTTCAGCGCACAGTAAAATGATGTTAGTATTTCCTCATCCCTGGAAAGTGCAACACTTCTCTTCTCCCAGCCTCTCACTAACCTCTCTTTCTTCTTCCTTTCTGCTTTCTCTCTCTCTCTCTCTCTCTCTCTTTGTTCTTGCTTTCACCTATCGGGACGCTCAGGACTTCCCAGGGTTAAGCGATGACTTTTATGGATCAAAGAGTTTGAGTAAGTGTGTGGTTCCTCTTGTCAAGCAGCTGTTCCCTGAGCTAACTCGACTGGCTGTGCCACACAAACATTTTCTGTTCTTTCTCTTTCTCACTGAGTATCCTCTCTATCCCTCTTTTTTGTTTCATTTTACTCTTAAGTTAATCAGGATCATTTGACTTGATGTAAGAGTAGATTATATTCATCAAGAAGGTACAAAGTTGGTAAAATATTAGCAAAATTGACCACGCCAATGTAATGCTCCGGTCACAAGATTTCTGAGCACTGAACAGTCATTATGTTTTCACAAAACAACTCTGGTATTACTCAGAATTTGAAAATCTGCATCCTACATCACTCTTATGTGTTTTTACAAAACAATTCAAGTAATACTTTTATATTTATTTATGACTTCACTTTACTGCACTAAAGTTAGCATTATTATAATGAATACTTTGACGTATCTATTCTGTTGGTCACAATATACAGGTCACTAAACCTTTTTTGAAACGCAGCGAAATGTGAAACTGTTTACTTTCCTCAGACTCAATGATATGTAGCACTGCAGGTGTGTTAGGAGATTTGATCTCTATAGGGGCTTGCAGACACTAGAGATGCGCGGATCGGCTATTATTTCATCCGCAACCGCATGACAAAATCCATCATCCGTCCGCCATCCATCCGCACTAACATTTTTGACCAATTTTTAAAACCGCACCCGCCCGCCATCTGCTGATTGGGCTCTTTATTTGAATGGCTTATTACATTTTTTTAAATAAATGAATGTTTCTTTATTGATCATAATATAATAGAGAATGACTTTAATGTAGACATGCAGTTAATCCAAACGTGCAAGTCATTAATTGACGACGCTTTGAAGTTACGCTAAAGATACGAGGACGTGTCTTTTCACTTGATTCGATTCCTCGGTCCTTCAGTCTTTTCCTTGCGTCCTTCCCTCGTAACGTTATCCCGGTGGGGTGGAAACACGAGGAAAGAAAGCAAGGAAAGGAAACGAGGATGCACAAATAAGAAATGAGAAGCACCCGAGCTCTCAGAATATCAGCAGTGAACTCCGTCTCCAATCGGCGCACAGGGACAAAAAATATATAAATAGCCTAAATTAAACGCACTGTACTGTACAACTTTTTTTTTTTTATTGTAGCCTAATAGAAAACGCATTGACACATCATTTCAACATGCTGCTATTTAGCCTACTACTAAATGCCTATTTCACTTAATTTTTTAGTAAATAGATAGAATAAGTCATTTACATTATAGCCTAATAATATTTACATTTGTAGTTGTCCATAGCAACCCCAAAAACGTACCTGCTTGCCTTGCACATCTAATTAATGGGCACAGTTTTTCGACTATTTTTTTTATTTTTTTGCTGTGGATGTTATTGAGCTTGTAGAAATCGGAAACAACACAGTTCTGCGACACAGATGAACCTTTATTGATATCTCTATCAGACAATACCTATTTTATATGCCAAATGAAACAACAGGCAGTAAAAAAAATATTAACATAAATATCTTAATGTAGGCTATAGTCGCATGCTTTGGCAAACAGTTGAAATTTTTTTAATAAAAACGTCATATCGTGCCTAAGCCTTGTAGGCTCAGTCACCCCCACAATTAGGAATTAAATTAGAAAAATAGATATGCCATTCCTCTTTGAGCGAACCTGACCAGGCTAAAGTGCATGTATGACAAGTGCCCCAATAACCCATGGACTTAGGATCATCCCCATTCTCCTCAAACTTGAAGCATAACGAAATACTACGCCATTAAATTTGCGACAAAGAAATTCTGGCAAAATAACCTTAGCCTCGGAACGTAAAAGCGAGGCCAACATGTCTAGAATAGAATAGGCTAAACCAATATGAACGTAAAATTATCAGCTGACCGAACTCAAAAGTTTATATTGAACATATGTGTAGCCTAAATAACATAGGCTAATTGGTTTAATATGCCTGACCTTAGGTCTAGTTTGATTTTTTTCTTGGCACAATGCAGGAATAAAATAGCATCCACAGTGTCAGGATTCAGACGGGAGCGCCTGCATAGCCACTATAATGCGCCCTGCTGCACTGAAGGAGCGCTCGCTCGCAGCACTTGTTGCTGAAATGCATAGAATTCTCTTGGAAAGGTGCTGTAGTCGTGGGAATGCCTGGCCTTATTTCTCCCAAAAGGAAAGTAGATTTTCCTCTGCTGATCCGTCTATACGGAAGTTTGTAGAGGAATACTTCTGTACACTTCATCCAGAATTAGTGTATCCGATTCCTCCTCCCATTCTGTGAAGTCAGTCCTAGGCTTTTTCGTTGGTGCGCCAGCTATGAATATAAAAACAGTACAACCGCCCGCCACCCGCCCGAATTTAATTAAAATATTATTTTTTCGTAACGTCATCCGCCCGATCCGCGGTTTATCCGCGGAGTACGCGGCTATAACCGCCAACCGCGCATCTCTAGCAGACACTGCACTGTGCCACGTTTTTAAAATTAAAATACATTCCCTAGCAAACAAGTTTGTGTTTAATAGACGTCTAATATACATCTAAACCTAGACAGTTTGGCTAAAACATAGCTAAACTTTTGCTTTCAGTGAAAATCTAATAGACATCCAAGAATAGCCCAAAACTAGACAAGTCGTCAAATAGAGAGATTAGACAGACTTTGTGTCATCATTAATTTCTGTTTACTTGATGACTAGTCTAGTTTTAACCTACTCTTAGATGTCTAAGTAGATTTTCACTGACAGCCCAAATTTACTCTTGTTTTAGCCGAGACGACTGTTTACACGTCTATTAGACATCTTTTAAAAACAAAAAATGCTTGCTGGGTCTTTTATGAATGTGTGCATTCTGCTGTCGTCACTCTGTCTAATTCCAAGGGATCACTTCAAAATCTTTGCCCATTTCTATGAAAATAACAACGATATGGAACAAGTATAATGTAACATCCATAATTAGTTCATCATTTGCTTAAAGATTGCATCTTTTGACAAAATGCTTGTCTATGGCAAACTAACTAAGCTACTTTGTTTATTTTTGAAGTGAACTTTTGCACGTTTGCTGATTAGATGATCTATTTCTAACAGGCGCCGAGCTCCTTGTTTGATGTGCATCCGCCTTCAGCCCGTCTCTTTGCTCTTCTAGTCGCATTACTACATGCCATCTCCCTTATCACAAAGCTCATGACACACAACAAAAACAGCCCTGATCATGGCGTCCCGTCCTTTAGTTGTTGAGATTGTTGAAAACCGTGATTAAATGACATCACTGTTGGCCTGCTTGCAGCACTTCAAATTTCCTAATGGTGGTGCAAATTCAACTTTGAAAACCTAGCGAAAGCAAATTCTTTATTGACTCATAACAATGGAAAAAGAAAGTCATTACAGAGAGAAAAGTAGTTGTTGCATTTTGAAAGATTATAAAAGGCATAGTTTTATTTCATTTTTACTATTAAACTCCTAAATCCAATGTTCTTAAAGGGATAGTTCAACCCAAAATATAAACTACCTGACAAATATCTTTGTTGCTGATCTTTAGCTGATCATTTGGGGTCAGAAGTGGCTTATATGCCAGGCAAAGGCTTCTAGATTACACTTATTTTACCAAAATAAAATAGAATCATGCCTACCTGATACCTCAGGCTGTTGATGTCACCATCCACTCTGCAGATTTCTCGCACGCCCCTATACTGAATGTAACCCTGAACCATGATTTTTCTTCACCAAACTGGACTGATTTATATGAGAATCTTGGGTTCATGCAGATTCCAATAGGTGTTCTGCAGTATTTGTGATGATTGGGATGCAGTTCAACAGATGATTCATCTGAAAAATTTACCTTCTACCACTTTTCCAAATGATCAACTTGAAGTCAAGATATTATTTGTTGTTCCTACAACTGGGATCCATGACAAGACTTTTGTTAGGTAGTTTACTCTCAAGTGGTTCCAAAATTGTTTGTACTGTTGAACACAAAAGAAGATATTTTAAAGAAAGCAAAACCCCCAGAAACTATTTACTTCCAAAGTCGAAAAAAAACTAATACTATGGAAGTCAATTGTTTCTAGATTTCTTCAAAACATCCTCTCTTGTGTTCAACAGAAGAATGAAAGTCAAGTGAAGGGCGAGTAAATGGTGACAGCATTTTAAGCTTTGGGTGAACTATCCCTTCAATAAAAGAGAAAGTGGGTGGCAGAAGTCTTCACAGCCAGCTGGTACTGGGCAGGATTGAGTGTGTTTAATGTTTGAAGTATCCCAGCACTATCATGTTGTCAGTGTATCTAAGAGATGTTGGTTATTTGATTCCTGTAAGGAACCCAACACTGGCTTGTTTACTTTGGCATGAGGAGCGGTATCACTGTCTGATGAACCCAACACTGGCAAGGTCATAGGAAACGCTCAGCACAGAATCTAAGATCAGTGAGACCGTAGGAAAAGGAAATACTTAATTTGCTATTGCTGCCTCATCCTACCATTTCCTTTCTGAGGAAACGGCAGCCATTTACGGGCCCAAAAGTTCTTTTCTGTTTATTTCCCCCCCTTCTTGACTAAGCCTTTTCTATTCTTGGCATGATGGTACGGGAGGGTGTATAGTTTTGACCTGAGCTGGGATTGATATACCGTTAAACTTAAAAATGAAAGTGTGCATTGTGGCATTTCTAAACCTCCTCCTCCTCCTCCTCCTCCTTTCATTCACAGAGTGCTTGACGTCCAACACCAGTGACAGTGAAAGCAGCTCCAGTAAGTGGCTCTAAATGTGCATTAGCTTAAGCTTTTCATTATGTACTATGTTAAGTCTGTCCCAGTGTCAGTGTTGCCAGATTGGGTGGTTTTAAATTTGATTGTGCCAGTAAAAAATGTCATTGGTGGGTTGACAAAATTTGGGCAGTTTTGAAACGTAAATTTTATATGCAACTTTTTAAACAAAACATAACTGTGTGCTCCTCCATGACTAGTGCGTAGCAAGAGGAAGTGAAGAAAAGTTGTATCAAAACTTGACTCCATGGACAAATCTGACTCCCCTTCATGTGCACGCGCATCACGCAGCGCCTGGTTTATTGTCACACTTTCATTGATAATTTTTTCCCGCAATTGACAGCAAGAACAAAAATGGAAGCATTGTCTGCTAGGCAAGCAGCACCTAATTATGTTCAAAAGAATTAAAACGCCAAATGTGACGAATTTATACCCCATTTTGAAAGTAAAACATTCTCTAATAGGGAGTGTAATCTACACGTCAAGTGCAGTGTGTAGTTGAGGATGTGTTTCAATTTGATCTGGTTATATTGTGGTTCTGCGAGTGCTGGTGTTGGTTGCTTTATGGTTAAAAAGTATGACAGTTACAGTAACTTAATTAATTTAGATTTAAATAAATTAAAATTAAATAATTAACCTTATATTTTGGATTTTTGTTTTGCGTTTGGGCTGGAAAAAGTCAGCTACAGTATATCTGGCAACACTGCCCAGTGTAATCCGCTGAGGTGCGGCATTCCATTTGATCATTTTCATGCCATTAACTTTAAGTGCTTGAACAAAAAAATAAAAACAATGATTCATGGATCTTGTCATGTGACCTGCACGTTCATTCCAGTGATAATTCAAGTGGATTGTTTTTGTATTAAATGGTGAAGAATGAAACCTTTCTGTTTCAAATGGATACTTCTGTAATTTCTCCTCATGCAGAGGGTCAGGAAGACACAATTCTCTCATATGAGCCAGTAATTCGACAGGAGAGTGAGTATACATATGCCTTTTTCACTTTAGCTGTTTTTTTTTTTTAAAAGTTTGAATCAAAATATTTGATTGGCAGCTCGATGAAAAAAGACTCAATTATTAATATTGGATATTAATGTGCATTTTATTCAAGCAAAAATGGTCATTTCATGTTTTTAGTTGAGCAGTCTCACTCTGACCCTTAATCCTAGTTAACACTCCCCACAATGCAACACGCGTCAAATTCCAGCAGTTGTTTGATGGATTAGTCACTGTGTACATGTGCTGTTCTGATCTTGTTTTTGCGTGGCTGAGCTACTGTATACATCACTGAAGTGAGATAAAAAATGTTTCTTGTCATTTTAAAAAGGTCATCTGTTTCAGAAGAATTGGAATCATTAGTGTGACTGTTTGAACTGAACTTTACAATTAAACGGGCTGCTTTTACTGCTGTATGTTTAAGATTTCTTTAAATGACTTGACCACTACATGATGGCTTTATTTATTAAGGTTAAGTGTAGGTCAAGTTAGCTGTCTTGCATTTGCATTTGCGCAAGATGTTGAATAAGCAGTAGGTCATAGTTGATATGCAAATATAGACGTCTCTGTTAACTAACAGTTTGTGAATAGTCTGTGTTTGCACTTTAGTTTTCATAAAAGCTCTGGTTGAACTGGCTAGAGAGCTTTATGTACTTGGGACACGCTACACAGAAAGAAATTCAAATCCTGTTTTCCATGTCCTCCATAATGAGAGCCAAAGAAATAATTCTCAAGGCTGGACGTTTTTGACCAACATTGATTTGGCTTTCTTTTCAGTCCATTACACAAGGCCTGTGATTATCTTGGGTCCGATGAAGGACAGAGTAAACGATGACTTGATCTCAGAATTTCCCCACAAGTTTGGATCCTGCGTTCCACGTGAGTATAATATAAAACAAAGCAAGTTAATCTTTCAGTGTTTTGGCAATACTTGTGAAATTAAAGATCATGATTCTTTAGATACAACTCGTCCTCGGCGAGAGAATGAGATGGACGGCCAGGACTACCACTTTGTGGGTTCAAGAGAGCAAATGGAGAAGGACATTCAGGACAACAAATTTATCGAGGCCGGCCAGTTCAACGAGAATCTGTACGGGACCAGCATCCTGTCTGTTCGGGCAGTGGCTGAAAGGGTCAGTGACTCCCTAGTGTAAACATGCCAGGGGATCCGCACTCCTGTTTAATCCTTCAATATTTTCCCTGTGGCAATTACTGTGAGCAGTGAAAGTGTGACACAGGATGAAAGGGTTTCTTTAATCCTGTTGTAGGGCAAACACTGTATCCTGGACGTGTCTGGGAACGCCATAAAGCGACTGCAGCAAGCACAGCTCTATCCAATCGCCATTTTCATCAAGCCAAAATCTGTTGAGGCCCTAATGTAAGTTGAAGATTTTGATTTCTACAACCATTAGGAGACTACCGATGACATGTCTTCCAGTAACTTTTTCTAAATAAACAAAATGCTCTGTTACTAGGGCTGCACAATATATCGTTTCAGCATCGATATCGCAATGCCTGGAGCTACAGAATTGTATTTAACTACAGTATTTATATGGAATTTATTGGATAAAAACATTTCTTACTTGGAATGTTTGTCTTGTTTCTAGTCCAGATATCTACATTTCAAAGCCAAAACAAGATTATTTCACTCACCCCACTGACGGATCACTCCCTTAAAACAAGCAAAAACACAATAAAAACTTCATTTACTCTTATTTCTTCTGATGGTGAAAACTAAACAGCATTTTAACATGATTTTTTTAATGTATTTGTACTAGAGACAAAACAAAGTAAGAAAAGCTTTTTTTTTGCATTGTGATTATTTATTTCTGTACCTGAATACTGTTGGACTCTCCAGAAAACCATCAAATACAGCTATTTAAACAAACAAACAAAAAAAAACGCATTATCAGCTTTTTCCAATATCGTTACAATATTTTCATTTGAAATTTCATAAAATTAAAAGTCATCAGGTTTCTAGAATAGAACAAATACTAAGGCCCAATCCCAATTCTATTTTTTAGCCCTACCCCTTCTTCCCCATGGCCTTTGAAACCGAGTGTGAAGGGGAAGTTCTTCAAATTTACCCATAAGGAATGAGACCGCACTACTACACATCATCATATGTCATCACAGTCTCTTCCTTCAAATGAGATCAACAATGGTGACTGCTGTAATTATTCTGGTTGCGTTATTGTTTGGTATTTATCTTCAGGAAATCACTGAAGGCAGCGATATCGTGTTATCATAGCGATATAATGTGGCAATAAGATCGTAACTGTACTGCGCATTTACACCATGGCCATATTCATTTATGTAAACACACAAAAACAACATTAACATTATAGCAGACACTGTAAAAAGCTCATTCCAAACCACTAGACTTTTCTGACAGGGTATTCCCGTGTCATTGATTGGCAGATGTGAAAGTATGTTGTGGAACTTGAAGCATTACGGTAAAACACAAATGCAGTTATAAATGTATTAAAACATGTGCTTGTTTGTTGTAAAAATTTGTAATAATAAAAAAGCATGCTAATTCGTGCATGTCCTGACTTCTGTGCGCAGCCATATTGCCGTTGTAGGTGGTGTATTCTGGGAAATTTTCTAACCCCTTGGTTTTGAGTGTGGTCCTGATCTCTGTTAGCCCCTTTCTCTTAGACCTATGTTTTCAAGCTAAAGAGAATTGGGACACTCCTTTATGTGAATGTGCAAAACAAGGGGTAAGGGGAAGGCGAAGGGGTAAAATTGGAATTGGGCCTAAATATTATCCAATGTCTACTAAATCCAGTAATTCCAAGCTAAGTGAGAATGCTTCCCAAGCAAAAGCTCCTCATTTTATTTTCCTAACTGTATACGTCACGCTGAACGAATAACTTTTTCCTCATGATTCTGTACTGCGGTGTGGGCTCATGCACTTCTTTGTGTTTAACAGGGAATTGAATAAGCGGCAGACGTACGAGCAAGCCAATAAAGTCTTTGACAAGGCAATGAAGCTGGAACAGGAGTTCGGAGAGTTTTTCACAGGTTTGTTTTTCTCTCGAATGTATTGATAGGAAAACTTTTAGCACAGGCCCTCTGTTACTGTTTAACAGGAGTGAAGTGTACTGCAGTGTGACTAGTGTTCTTTCTGTCTCTCTACAGCCATAGTCCAGGGTGACTCACTAGATGAGATCTATAATAAAATCAAGCTGATCATAGAGGAGCAGTCAGGCCCTTACATCTGGATCCCGTCTGCAGAGAAGCTCTGAGCTGGCCGCCTCCACCTGACCCCCCCGTACCCACTCCTACCCGACACCTTCCCTCCTTCACTGATATGTTTCATATCAAGTTTTAGTGTCATCATTATGTTACCCTCAAATGAAAATCGTCTTCTCACCATTACTGTGACTGTGCACACCCCTGCATGAGTTTCTCAGCAATTCCATTCAAGATTGGAAATGCCATTCCTAACGAAATCTTTTTGTCATGTAAAACAAACAAAAAAAGGGAAACCTGAGCGAATCATTTCGGACAAGATGAGAATGTCTTAACGAAGTGACTTCGGGGAGTTGGAGAGCGGGAACCTTGTATATGTTCACTGAAAAAGACATTGGAGGATGCTGTGCGAGGGTTTTCTACGAGGACTACGCCTGCTGACGGTACCGTCGCTGCTCGTGCTCATACGCAGAGAAACTTGTAAACTGATGGTGATCTTCAGTACTCACAAACCAGCTGGCTTCGATCGGCTGCCTGGCCGTTTGTATGTTCAGAGGCAGAACAAAATGGAAAACGGGGTTTGAAGAAATACATTTATATTACTGAAATCACATGGAAATAAAAATCCTACAGAGAGATTTTACTACATAATACGAAATGAATACGGTACACATTTTACACTTAACTAGAACTGTCTACTTGGAGGGCTGTTAGATTTCATTTACTTGTCTTTGGGTTTTTGTGTTCTTTCTTTCTTGTGGTTTTAGCTGCTCTGTATTAAAGATGGGGGGTAGAGAGGTGTAACTGGGCTCTCTGCAGACCACCAAACTGCCTTACGACGACGAGTAAACGCTTCTGTAAAATTTGTGGGGGGATCAATAATATTCAACCTATCAGTGCTTAGCGGGAGACTCAGTTTTAGTGCTGTTTGTGAGTTTCCCGTCCATCCTATTGGAGGCCTAACTTGTGAGTGCAATAGACTGAAGTGTCTTACCTCTGTAAAATCCTTTTCTTTTTTCTTTTCGTTTTGCTTTGCTGTTTGTTTGTTTTTTTTTAACTTAAGCAAAATCCAATTTCGGCCACCATTGGAGTTGAAAAGCAGACAGCCCACTTGCACTTCCTCTGCCTTCCATGACTATATTCTCTTCAGACTGAACGGTAACAAGGTACTGTCCTGTTAGCTGCCCTGGAGTGCAGCCTTAAAACGGGTAGAATCAAGACAATAATTGTATTGGATGTCCTTCTTAATATTAAAGCGTTAGTGGAGCCTGAAATTGACAGTTTTCCCCAAGAACTCGACGATGGTTTGATTAAATCTGTTCTTTGTAATGACAGCTTTTAAATGATTTTTTTTCTTCGACTTTATTTCCGGGCTGATGTTTACTCCACTGTGTTGAGCCTTGTGCCGGGCGAGCTCGGCGAGCTCAGGAATCTGATGGAAAACTTTTTTTTATTTTTATCGATAAGCCACTAAAGGGCCGCAATCATATTGTGATCAAGTAGAGTATGAACTCAAGGGATGATTTCCAATCCTCTACCTGAACACCCAGACATGCTGAAATATTATACTTGTGTATTCTAAATATTTAGTCCTTTTTTTATTTGATACTTTGTAAGCACTGTGTCTTACATCAGTGTTCAGCCGGAGAGAACGGGATTGTGCTGGAACGGGACGGTGCTCACCGGTACAGAAGTACTTCCTTCAGTCTCTTGGCTCCCTCAAGAAGGCGATTCTTTGTTTCTGTATTGAGAAGTCTGGATCCCGTGTAAATGGAGGGATATCTATCCCTGTGGCCGCTCTCTCTTTCTCTCTCCCGCCCCCGACCCACAGGCATTTTCTAAACAGGTGCGCTCACCTGCCAAGCGTCTCTGCGAAATCAGCTGTCATACCTGTGTCAAAACCAGAGTTCAGGGAATAATCGAAGGGAACAGAGCCATTTATAAACTGCTTACAGACTGTTTTAATGGGTATGATAGCTGTAAAGTGTAAATATCGGCCCTCACTTGTGCTTCATGCATGTGTGATACAACTGGGACAAACATGTTTTTATAAATCACAAATGTCAGGTAAGTAAACTTTGAATTTATTCTGAGATTAATTAATTTCCATACAAATGTGCCGTAACGTTGCTATTTCTCTATAGAAAAGAAACTATCTTCAGCTGCCTATCGGAACATTTTTTTAGCGAGTCGGGAACTAGCTTCCCTACATTACGGCCTGTCTACTTGTGATATCTTGTGGAACTTGTCTGAGTGTATAGATGAAAAACCAATGTAAAAAAATTATATAAATATATATATATAAATATCTATTTAAAGAGACATGCGGACAGCAACCCGTAGAGTGATATTAAAGTAAACCAGAAGCATAAATAACTCATTTAACGTAGATCTGGCCCTCTGCGGTGTCGAGCGGAAACGCAGCTGACCGTTCGCACCAATGATGCTGGTCAGCCATGTTGGTGAAGCCCAAAGAATTCATTGTACTATATTTCTACTGAAGTGGATTGAATGAGAGCAGCTCTGGTGTACTAATGAGGGTCTGTGCTATGGAAGGCATGAGCGTCAAATGGGGAGGGAAGGGGTCTGGTTTTGTCTTTTTGAGTGATGATGAGTTTTTGATGTGACAGCACACCTGTGCAGTAAGTGCTTGCAAATATGAACCCTCTGATTGTACAGAAGTGTCCTCCCCATGATTACAGGTGGTACAGCCTATCAGGACACAAGGAAAACCGCTCTTTTATATCCTGGTCAGGAGGGAACACAGTCCTACCATTTACTATTATTTTGTTTTATGTTGATTTTGTTTTTCTTTTCTTTTTTCTTTTTGGACTGGACAAGAGTTTATTTGTTTGGAAATAAACTATGTGACTCTGTTACGATTTCAATGCATGCATTTTTATTTGTTTTGTATCGCAATGCATATGTTTCAACCCAGGACAGCTCAAACAGATAAGCGGATGACAGGTAATAAAATAAACCTGCCAATTAAATACTTCAGATTAAATTAATGCAACTTTTGGAACCATTTTATAACTGTGCAAACAAACCCTCAGATGAATTGTACATCTCTTAGCATCTCGGAGAAATTCACACTACATATTAAACACGTGCCGTCAGACCTGAGATCTCCATCTGCGACTGAATCCGCCATCATTCATTCCTCAATAATGAGATTCTTCTTGGCTTTATCCAGCCTGTCCAACACCTCACTGTACAGACCCGCCATCTGGGGAGACACATTTCAGCTATTTTATTCACACCTTGCCGCCTTGTCTTTTACCAAACCGCATGAACAAAACGTTTTTAATGAATATTATCTTGTGAATTCCTAGAACTCAGGATGAATTAATCACTGCCAAACTCGACTGGTTGAACCAAACTTCCCTACTGCAAGAAACTTTCTGCCCACATGGCTGAAACCAGCCTTTCTGCGCCAATCAAATGACCCACTGAGGGGCTGAAAAAGCTTTACTTGAGAGTATGAAGCAAACATGGCCTATTCCCAACTGTTACCTTAAACCCTTGCTCTGGCTTTGCTGCTTTGATGATCAGATAAAAGTACTAATTAAAGGGACAGTTCACCCAAAACTGAATTTTCTAAGACCCTGTTTACACCAATAGGTTTTAGTTTTAAAATGCATACATTTTGCTATGGTTTCGTCCATCCTACCCTAGAGTATTCAAGGCCCGAAAACGGAGCATTTTGGAAATGCTGAAGAGGCCAATTTGGTTTTAAAGCACTGCTGCTCCGTGTCAATGTGGATGGGGGACAACGGAGACATCTAAAAATGGGAGGCATGGCTGCAGACATTCTCCTCTCTGATTGGGCCTTTTTCTCAATATTAAGTAATATTAAGTTCAGTCTTGCATCCTTCTGTTCAAACTCCGCAAGTTTGATATGGAAAACAAACTCCCGAGGACACATCGGATAAATCATCAAAGGGAACAGTGTACTTTACAACCTCATTCACATCACCTTGTGTACGTTGTTTCACTTTCTTTACAATAAATTGAAAACATGATATTAGGAACTGCCTATTTTCATTATGATATTCGAAACCTACAAGACAGCAAAAATGTTGAGGCGTCGTGTAGCTACATATTTATATGAGTGTCGTCTTCATTGTATGTATATTTATAACAAAATGAAGCCTATAACATTACTGCCTCCTTTCATTTTCATTGAAAAATACGAACATGCCGTCTCTTACTGAATATCAATTGATAATAATCATAATAAATAAAAGTATAATTTTCAATAAGTTTATACAATATAGGAAATAAAGGCAAGCAGTAAGTCAAATGTGCAGAATCAGTGTACAAGGGTACATAAATAAACATATTAACTTATCTTTGTGCTCAGCCAAAACACGTTACCTGAGAACAAGTAATATATTCAAAAGACCAAAGAGGCGTTAGATAGAGACAAGATGAATTAAATATTACATTTAACAACTATAGTGAGATGAGATCCAGCGATATATCCTTGATGAACTGTCCGACGTGCACTGCTCCCACCTGGGTAGATGTGCTCAAAGCACTCGCTGACTGCCTGGAGCTCAGATCTCCGCATTCCAGAGTGTGTGTGATAACGTGATGTGCGTTTTCAGCGGTGTAGTGTGGACGAAGATCTTTTCAGAACTGCTAAGTGAAACGTCAGTGTGGACGCAGATTGTTGTCAATCTAAAACATCATTTTAAAACTAAAACCAATAAGGTTTCTAACGTTTCTCGCAATATCATCTTTTGTTTTCGACAGAAAAAGGACTTACTCATAAAGGTTTGGAACCTCTTGAGACTGTAAATGGTGAGTTAATTTCATTTTTGGGTGAACTATTCCTTTAAGGGCACAAAGCAGTGTATTGGGGGCACTTGTGAAGACCTTTGTGGAAGATAAAATGCTGAATGCATGGCTCCTGGAAGGCCAACATCCTGAGTTTACCTCCAACACACCGGCCTTCATGTTGTAAAGACCCGACACAGGTTTTATTTATGGTTGAGGGTGAAGTCTGCCAGGAACAAGTTTAGACAGGTGAGGTGTGGCGTTTGGGATTGTGGCAGTGAAATGTGTCACCTTGTGCCGAGTGTTCAAATGGCTGTACGGTGAGAGGCACATACCTGAGTTTGATAGCTGTCCTGCAGAGAGCCCAGATACCTCAAGAAGCTCATTCCCAGCCCACACCACCTCTCTGCTTCAGGGTATTGGGCCAGACTGTAGAGCAGGATTCCTGTATTCCACGCTCGGGTCAGCAGCCACAGGATCTCCAACTCCGGAAAGTCCTCGGTCTGTGATAGAAAAGAGATATGATGGAGGAATGGTTTGGTCTAAACGCTGTAATTATAGCTGCAGAATTATAGAATGCTATTCAATATCAATGGTGTCTTGAAGGTCACGAATTGAGAATAGCAGCCTGATGCTTATGCAAGTTTTCTGCAACGCTAGTCCAAGATAAAAGATACAGGCGAGATCTTCAAATTAGCATCCAAATTGGCAGGAAGAGGCTGGTGAATGGAGCATCTGCTAACTGAGGCATAACTAAAAGCCCATTGACAGAAACAGGAGATTCTTTCAAAGATGGGGATAATTGCGGGGCTGAGCTGCAGCGGGTCGTGTGTGATGCCTGCTGAGTCACCGTAACCAACTCACTGCAGTTGCTATGAGGGAAAGAGCTTCCTCATAGTAGCCCCACACTTCCTCCAACACGCAAGGCTGAACCTCGGACACACCGTTCGGCAGGCTCAGCTGAATCAGGCTGTGTAAACAGTTACTAACACACACACACACACACACGAGTATAAGGTGTGTGTCACATGAGAAACAGTTTAATGTCTTTTGTTATGTGTCATTGTGTAAGTAGCAAACACTGAGCTCGTCTGACCTGCAGCGCATGAGGTCCACCTGTGGTTGTTTTCTGTGCAGAGACAGAGCGATCTTCAGTGCTTTCTTACAAAGTACCGGGTAATGGGCTGGTGGTTCCATTGCCAGCACTGTAGACACAAAGAACAGAACTATCAGATCAGATCCAGCCGTTTTGTACAATAGGGGTTCCCAAAGTTTTTAGCTCACAACCCTTACAATTACAATGCCAGTGACTTGTGACCCCCAGTATCCTCTGAGGTGGTTTAAATATGCTGTATAAATCGTACACACTGGCCCACACATACCAATAGGTCCAAATCTAATCATCATTTAATTTTGGAGAACGCCACTTGGAGACAATCCTCCATGTTCATTTGTGGCTTGTGTTTATTTTTAATGTACGTGAGTGCTGTAAAGGTGTCAGAAGGTTTAATCTGGTGCCATAAAATCAATGTGCTGTGTGTTTAATATAACATAATCACCCCAGGGGTGGCAGAAATGAAACGCTGATGGATTTGTATTTGCATTTTTAAAAAAAAATTTTTTAGGAGTTTTAAACTTTAATGGATAGAATTGTACAGAGAATCAACTGTATGATTAATTAAAAATAACTATAAACATTGATTTATATTAACTAATAAAATATAGATTTTTTAATTGTGTAATGAACTTATAACAATACTCAAGCTGCACCTGTTTTTGCCTCGATTTGCTCACCAATGTCTTCTGCATTGTCCTGTATCTGAGGAGTGTCAGTTTTTATATTTTTAAATCTGATTCAGTCACAGCACTTCATTTCAGTTTGCTTTTTTGTAGCTTAGCAATAAAAACAAACAAAAAAAGCTTACATTAAATTAGAAACGAGGATCTCTGTAAAAGACTCCAGCCCTGCCCATCATTCTTACTCTCTTCTCAGATGGGATGGTGGGCCAAATCACAGGTTATCATGGGCCAATTTTGGCCCGCAGGCCCTAGTTTGGGCATCTCTAGTCTAAAGACATGCGCTACAGGTGAATTGGGTGAATAAAATTTGTCGTAATTTATGAGTGCGTGTGTGAATGTGAGAATGTATGGGGGTTTCCCAGTACTGTGTTGCTGCTGTTTAAAACATATGCTGGAATAGTTGGTTGTTCATTCTATTTTGACTACCTCTGATAAATCAAAGACTAAGCTGAAAGAAAATAAATGAATTAAAGTATGATTTAAAACAAAAACAACTCCAAACTTTTGAATAGTAGAGTATATCCATACACAGAGCCAATAGTTGATTATCCATTAGAGCATAGGTCTCAAAATCCTGGAGGTCTCAAAATCCTGGAGGGCCACAGCTCTGCAGTTTTGCTCCAACCCTAATCAAACACAGCTGATCCAAATAATCAAGGTGTTCAAGACTACTAGAGAATGTTCAGCTGGTGTGATTTTGAGGTGGTTGGAACTAAACTATGCAGAGCTGCGGCCCTCTAGGAATTAAATTTGAGACCACTGCATTAGAGGGTTATGTCTTGAGAAGCTGACCTGCGATCACTTCTAACAGCTTGGTCTCGATGTTATCCAGCTCCAAAACTGATTCAAGCACAGTCTCCAGTTTTGGATCATTTAATTTGGCCCGAGCCTCAAACTCATAGAGCAGCAATAATGAGTCTGTTTTGTCTTGAGAAGAAATGCCTAATGAAGAAACAACATGTAAAAAAAGTGATTATGGTCCTTGTTAATTTGGAGAAACAGGTAGAAGTTAATTCTGCCTACGTAAAATAATTGAAGCAGGAAATGCACCTGATGTTTTGATGGTGGTCCAAATCTCTTTACAGAGTTGAATGTTTTCTAGAGTCTGGGTCAGCAGCTCAGTCTGAAAGTAAAGGAGATGTTTTAAACTGCGCCCTCTGCTGGTTAACTGCATGAATGGTGAAAACTGAAATGGGAGAGAGTTTATCCCATACAGGGATAGTTACAACACATCCTCAACTGAACACAAAGTAAGATATACTGAAGAATGTTGGGAAAAAACAGCCATTGACTCCCATATTAATTGTGTTCCAGATATGGATGTGAATGGCTGATTTTTTCCACAACATTCTTCAGTATATTTTGTTTAAAAAGAAGAAAGTAAGGCGACACGATGGCTCAGTGGTTAGAACTGTCGTCTCACAGCAAGAAGGTCGCTGGTTTGAGTCCCTGCTAGGTCAGTTGGGATTTCTGTGTGGAGTTTGCACATTCTCCCTGTGTTGGCATGGGTTAGCTCCGTTTGCTCCAGTTTCCCCCACAGTACAAAGACAAGCACTACAGGTAAATTGGGTGAACTAAATTGTTCTTAATACTTAGTGTGTGACTAAGCCGAAGGTAAATTAATGAATGGATGAAGAAGAAAGTAATCCATAAACCTTTTATTTCTATTATTTTTTTATTGTTAAGCCCATAAACAGTGTATACAATTTATACATACATCAACAAATAGGCAGATCATCTTTAACAATGAAAAGTAATCCATAAACATTTAGGAGCATGATTTATTTTTGACTAAAAGGTCTCCAACTATCAAACCCAATTTTATTGTTTCATTTATTCAAATATTTTCTTTCTGGCTTAGTCCCTTTATTAATCTGGGGTTGCCACAGCGGAATGAACCGCCAACTTATCCATCACATATTTTATGCAACGGATGCCCTTCCAGCTGCAACTCATCACTGGGAAATACACCCATTCACTCTCATTCAGTCATACAGTACGGACAATTTAGCTTACCCAATTCACCTACAGCGCATGTATTTGGACTGTGGGGGAAACCGGAACACCCTGAGGAAACCCACGCCAACACAGGGAGAACATGCACACTCCACACAGAAATGCCAACTGACCTAGCTGAGGCTTGATCCAGTGACCTTCTTGCTGTGGGGTGATCATGCTACCCACTGCACCACAACAAAGCCCTCTTATTGTTTATGGACATATTAAATCCTTAAATAATACTATTTTAATATTGCAACCTAAGGTCTCAATTGTTTTATATATTAACTATACTTTTTTCAGATTTTTAAACAAATGTCACTTTGTAGTTTACAAAACAGCAATAATATGCATTAAATAGATCAATTTTCTGAATTTATGTGGTAATATGTTTCTTCAGTCTCCTTCATGTTAAGTGAAACGCCTCTTGGCTTCTGTTGATTGTTTAGTCAGGTGAAGAAGATGAAGTGCTATAAATGAGTGAGTGAAGCACCTGTTGCTCAGTGTGATCAGAGCTCCTGCAGATCTCCAGAGAGGCGGCAGCAGACATCAGCAGGCACGTCTTCTGCCCCATCAACACAGCTCGGTCTGGAGCACACAGCTGTGAAAGCTGCACATCACACGTTCACTGTAACTACACCTCACTAAAGCTGCAGTGTCAGCGTGTGGATTGCTGTTAGCACAATTATGACCTAGCATACAGTTACTAGGTGTATCATCCTGCTGGAAGTAGCCATCACAAGATAAATAAACTGTGGTCATAACGAGTTGGATGTGGTCAGCAACAATACACAGGTAAGCCGTGGCTTTAAACAATGCTCAATGATTAGTGCTAAAGGACCCAAGGTATGGCAAGAAATTCCTCACACTACTACATCACCACAGCATGCTAAATTAATACTTGCTTTCAATCTATTGAGTTGCTGCCATGTCATTGGCTGATTATAATTTGCCTTATTTAGCAGTAGTAATAATAAGTGTAAAGCATCTGGAGAATATACTCCATATATTAGCAACTAACTTGCACACTAAAAGATACATTTTTGCTGATACATAATAAAATGTCTTTGTAAATATCATTTAAAGTTGCTATGAAACAGAAGTTAATATTGTCCTTTTCCCCATATTGTTATGTACATACAATAGATACATTAATGAAATGAATTAGCAGAAAAAAATAGGGCTATGCATGAATAAATCCATTGAGGACCGATAGGATCATTGAAAGATGGGCATTGCTAAGAAAATTAAGTAACATTGCTGAATAGATACAAGCAGAGCATACATGAGACATGAATGGCATTCCATGTGACCAGAAGTGAAGAAAAGTCACTTTGAGAGGGGAGGGAAGTTTATGGTATTTGATAAAGATTATGAAGGCAAATGATTTTTACTAAATAATAAAGTGCACAGAAACATCATTTATAAGAAGAACCACTATATAAAAATATTAAAATAAGAAGAGCTCATTTAAATTTCATGGTGATTTAAGCTCCATGCACAAATGTTTTAAAATCAGCATCCTGGCTTTGCAGCCTTCAGAATTTATATTGTTTTGATTGAAAAATGATGGCCAGGGTGGCATTTTAAGTACATAATTATGTGTATATGTGAGCATCCTACACATGTACAGTGTGTGCACTCACTGATAATAGAAATATGTTGTTCACTGTACACATGCCTTGAGTTTCTTGTACACTACCTGACAAAAGTCTTGTCGCCTATCCAAGTTTTAGCAACAACAAATAATATATTAACTTCTAGTTGATCATTTGGTATCAGAATTGGCTTATATGAAAGGCAAGGGCCTGTAGATTATGTGTATTTTACCAACATAAAGTATTATCATGCCTTGATTTTTAGATATTTAATTAGGACAGTAAGGTCTAACTTAGCTTAGACAAAAGTCTTGTCACTTAACAGAAATAATGTACAGTATAGAATATAAAGTCATGGTGCAGTGGAAAAAGAATGAATATTGTGTATGATTCTTATGAGCTTGGAGGACTGCATCCATCCACCTCTGCAATGACTCAAATAACTCATTAATAAAGTCATCTGGAATGGCAAAGAAAGCGTTCTTGCAGGAGAACAAGATGCAGTTGTCAATCAAGATTATTTGGATTCCTCTTCGATGCCTCCTCCATCTTACCCCAGACATACTCAATCTTGTTCATATCTGGTGACTGGGCTGGCCAATCCTGGAGCACCTTGACCTTTTTTGCTTTCAGGAACCTTGATGTGGAAGGATAATTTTTCTCTCCTGTGGTTTGTAATGTAATGGGCAGCACAAATGTCTTGATACCTCAGGCTGATGATGTTTTCATTTACTCTGCAGATCTCTTGCATGCCCCCATACTGAATGTAACCCTAAACCATGATTTTTCCTTCACCAAACTTGACTGATTTCTATGAGAATCTTGGGTCCATGCGCATTCCAGTAGGTGTTCTGCAGTATTTGTGATGATTGGGATGCAGTTCAACAGATGATTTATCTGAAAAATCTACCTTTTACCACTTTTCCAAATGATCAACTTAAAGTCGAGTTATTATTTGTTGCTCTTACAACTGGGATATACAACAAGGTTTTTGTCAGGTAGTGTATAAAAAAAGTATAGGCAGGGCTTATGAGGGACTATATCTTAACTTACTTGAAACGAGAGAAGAAAGAAATCCTTCATCCGAACAGGACTGTGCTCACACTGAAGGGCAGAGTTCCATGCTGAGAGTCAGAAAGACAGCCAATTTACAACACATGCACATTCAATCAAACATAACTACCAATAGACAAATGTTTCTCAAACTGTTGGAGGTTTATAAAAAGAGCACCAATTCTCCTGAACCAGTTAGCATCTTCTGAACGCTGCTCTGCTCTCTGACCAGGAATATGGCAGACTTGTGATAATTTCTGAAGAGCTGTAAATTTAGTTACAGTATGCATAAATCAGAGCAGACATAAAACAGCAGTGTAAAGACAAATGATGGTTAAGCCTACCTGTTTTTAGGTATGACAAGAGGATATCCAAGCTGGCATTCCTGTTTTAGAAATAGATGAAGTGAGACAAAGGGAGCTGCTGAGTTTGTCAGAATTTCTGTACCACTGATCTACTAACCTGTTTTCCTCGCTGATGTTTTCCAGTGTTGAAAGAGCTAGTCGCACTAAACACCTGAAAAAACATTGGCCCAGATTTTCTAACAGCTTGAGCCAGCACAAACCCTCTTGTGAATAACGCTAAATACAGGTGTAAACAGGGTCTAAACTTGAGCTTGCCTACTTTTGCAGAGTAAATGCTTATAATTGCTCATGATGGAATCGAATGTTATTGAAGGGATAGTTCACACAGAATTAAAATTTTCCCACCATTTACTCACACTCAAGTTTCTTTCTTTTGTAGAATATAAAATAAAACTGAATAAAGCTGGAAAAAACAGCCATTGACATCCATACTAGTAAAAAATATATACTATACAAGTAAATGGCTGTTTTTTTCTACTATTTATCAGTATGCATATCTTCCTTTTGTGTTTAACAGAAGAAAGAAACTCTAACAGGATCTGAACAAGTTGTTCAAATGATGGCAGGATTGTTATTTTTGGGCGAACTATCCCTTTAAACAACCCCAAAAGATAACAAATGATTGGTATGGGCCGAGATATAATAAGTTTTGCAGAGTTTACTATGCTGTACCAAAACTGATTATGATCAAAATCATACTTGTCATTCACATCCTTTTTATTCGCTTGCTTTTTGCTCAATTGTTAGCCACATAACATGGAATTATTCAACACTACTTATGCATCACAATCAATTCTATGAAACAAAACCAATGCAAACATTATTGAAATAAAAAGCTTGTCGGACAGCACAAACTGAAAAAAGATAATACATTGAATTAACAAGTGCTTGCATTTCAGTGACTTTAACTGCCAGGGTTTGCCATTTTAGGTCTTGAAATTAGACATAGCTGTTTATTTAAGCTGTAAATATTTTAATTTAAAACACATTTTCATACTTAAATTCAACACTTCATATTCAACCTTCAAAATATTCAGTTCTGTTTAAATCTACGAAGTATAATATTCAAAGGGCAATTTTCAGTTCATTTTATTTCCGATCAAAAATTCACTTCTTTTACACAATTCCATATGTAAAGCAATTTTAGTACACAGAAAAGAAATTTATAAATGTAAGGAATTATTATTATTATTATTATTATTTCAGTGGTTCAAATTCAGCTGTTAAAATTCAACATTACATCCGGAAACTGCAGGAAAAGCAAAAGATTGCAGATTGAAATCTTAAATTGCTCCATCTTTACCTGCTAGTAGAAAAAGCACAACTCTGGAGATGGTTAGTCTGCAATCTATTGCTTTGAGCAACTTATAAATTTAAACAGAACTGAATACTTTGGAGGTGAAATCTGGAAGTTGAAAATTAAGTATTGAATTTAAGTGAAAATGTATTTTGAATTGAAATATTCACAGCTTAAATAAACGATGTAAATAAATGTTACATTCACTTAATTACAAACCCCTGTAATTCAAGTCATTGAAATGCAAGCACTTGTTAATTCAATGTATTATTTTTTTCAGTTAGTGCTATCCGACAAGCTTTTTATTTCAATACTTTTGGCATTGATTTTGTTACATAGTATGCCCCTTTTAAAGTGTTGTTAACCACTTGTGATCAAATGACTGAAAATATATGTCATTACCAAATGGGAACCGGAACACTGATGTAAAAAATTATAGTGTAAAGCTCACGGTCAAAGGTTAGAGTTAATGTGTGACTGACCTCAAAGCAGTGAGGGTTTGAGGAACATCTTCTGAGTGTTCACACAGAGTCTCCAAGGCTTTAATGGCTGTTTCCTGTTGCTCATGCTGCAGTAAAAAGTCACTTTGGTGAAAAGTACTTCAGACATACAGGCAATTAAGCCCCCAAACCTTCCTTTGTGCCATTTATTAATTTGAAATAAACAGGATAAATATTCAGAAGAATTAAATATGGTTTAATAAAACGAACCTCAAGGGCGATCTGTGCTGCCAGGCTGAGGAGGTTTGCTGCTGCGTTCTCAGTCACAAGAAGTCTGTCCTCACTGCTAACTGGAGCTTTAGCCAGAATGCCAATCCCTCTCAGAGCCGCAGCAGCTTATTAACACACCAAAGACAGATGTTCACCTTTAAATTACATTTTTAAAGGGATTTTTGGGGCTGAGTTTAGGTGATTTTTTTCGAATTTGACTTATTGTTGTGACAAGAAAATTAATTTTCATAAGCCCTGACTTCAGTCTTCAGAGTTGCATGATCCTTCCGAAATCATGCAGACTTGCTGACTGTGATGAATATGCTCAAATTATAATTACCAATGCTGCAAAAAGTGCTGCTTCATGTTTTGGGAAAATGACATGCTTTTATTTTTAGGATACATTTCTATATATAGAAAGTTCACAACAGCTGCATTTATTTGAAACAGAACTCTAGTGTAACATTATAAGTGTCTTTACTCTATTTATTCTTTGCTGAATAAATGCATTATTTCTTACAAAAAATTTAAAGAATGGCCCAAACTTTTTAACAGTGGTTTAAAGCAATTCCCTTATAATTCCTGATGAAACTCCCTGATATTTTGCATGATCATTTGAACCTTTGGTACTGTCCAGTCAGACGCATGTGTTCACAGTGTTGGTTTACATCAACTCCTTTACCTTTCTCAGCATTGTTTTCCAAAATAGCAATCTTGTAGATGTTAAACTGTGTGAAAATATTGGCTGAATCAATCCTTGCTGCCTCTTCTACAGCCTCTTTGGCCTTCAACAAGATATCAGTAGTGTTACCAACATATTTATGCATGGATGTATGTATAGCCTAAAAAATGCAACCTAAATTATTTTGCCAACTACCTTATCAAGTTGTTGTAGGTGCAGAAAACAGGAGGATCGGTTTCTCTGTAGTTTAGCCAAGTTGGGATCCAGCTCGCCTGCTTTGTAGAAGCTCAGTGAGTAGTTATACCACTGCAGAGCTTCTGAAAAGTTCTTGGCCTGTGCAAAAAGCAAGCATGACAGAACTGTCTCCCATAGCTCAAAATAAAGAGCTATACTGTACATGCATCCTGTACTATATAAGAAAATGTATACAGTATACACAATCACGTTTTTTGGAGGAGTCTGTTTTTGCATTATAAGCCTAATTAATATCTAAAAGTTTGTTCAGTATTTTCTTAAAGAACTCTTATTTTTATGTAGTTAGAATGCATCAAAATGATCAAAAGTGACAGTAAATACATAAATATTGTTATAAAACTACTATAGTAATGTATGATAAAATTATTTAAAGGGAGATTGTAATAGTAATATTATCAGGATTTTCTATAGGTAAAAATCAAATTGTAATAAAAGAAAATAAATAGATGCATGGGTATCACAAAGCGTAGATTCTAAACATGTAAAACTGCATGAAATACTTCAAAGTTTTTGGAAGCTCTATCCCAGAGAAGAAGATGCAGAGATGAAAGAGTCTGTGATGCTAGTTGTTTTCCAGTATAATGTCCTAGAAAACAATAAATGGTAACAATTGATAGGCAGTTCATAAAACTGTCATAAAATCTATGAGATGACACATGTCGTGAATGTGAGTGAGATCTTGTGCATGCTTATGACAACTGTTATTAAGTGTCATTTGTTCAGTAATGCCATTTTAAATTTAAAGATAACATTGTTTGTTATAACTGCTGGCAAACAAATACATCACAACCAGTCTTCATCTTTGTCATGATACCATTACCAAGACAAAATAACTTGTCATAAACATGATTGTCATGAGGCATTATAATTGTCATGAATGTTTTTCTGAAGATGTTTTCAGTGAAAAAATTGTATTTGTCACTAAAATGTCTCATTAAACAAGTTTAACAGTGTCATTAATTTTTAATGACATTTTAAAGACAAACTCAGCTTGTATCACTGTAGTTGAGATAAAAAAATATATAATTAACGACGCTACAATAAATTTATGACAATAATAACGGCTTCATGACAATCATGTTTACGACAGGTTTATGACAAGTTTTGTTGTCTTGGTAATATCAAGTTGTCATGACAAAAACAGATTGTGATGTATTTGTTTATGTATTTGTTTAAAACACCATAACTGAGTGAATGACACTTAATGACAGTTGTTTATATATATATTATGTTGATTATAAAGGTTTAATGACAGTCTTATAAACACTTTTTCAATTAAAGTGTTACCAATTAAACAATTAAATACAGTTCAACTGAGCCTTCTCATTGTGTCCCAGTGTTTGCTTCTATTTGAAACCAAGATGAAAATATTAAGTGTTTTCCAGGGAATCACAGAAGTAAATAGTGGGAGCACTATGACTTGTTTAACAGAGAAAACATTGTGTGAAGGGTCACATGTTTCATACAGTATAATGACATGAAATGCACTCTTGCTTAAAACTATAAAATAACAATGACTCGGTTGCTTCACATAATAACAAAATACTTTTGAGCACCAGTAATAGCATCCTCGATCTTCTGCTTGGCCAGCAGCTCTTTGTCCCGCTGCAGCAGCAGCTCTATATGCATGAGCAGAGCAGAGCCCAGTTCAGGAGACGACTCAAAATGCTGACACACTCGCTTCAGGAAGTCAAAGGCCAAAGCCTCCCTGAAACAACAACATGTCAGTGCCTCTGTAATGTCTCTTTCAACTACAGATCTCAGGATGTTTTTGTGCCTGTTTAGAAACATGAAAGGTCATACCTGTTCTCTTCTACAAGCAGCTTTACTGTGCTCAAACACACTTCCAGTGGAACCTCACAGTCCAGCAGCTCTGACAGTCCTGACAGGACAGGGAAAGCAACATGTTTAGGACAACATTTGTGGAGTAATTTTTTTTTTTTTTTGTGAAATAACATGGCTCACCGGATTTTACTGCTTCATCTGGGCTACAGCCTTTCACTAGGATACGGATCTTCAAGTAAAGACCTGACAACTGCATGTGCTCCTGAAAAAAATAACAAACATGATGTAATAAAACAAAGCTGTGCTACAGTTTAATCTGATCATCTACTTTAATAAAAAATAGCTGAACTAGGGATACTTTACCTTATTTGCCAAGCTCACAGCCTGAAGAGCTTTTTCTAGATACTTCTGGTGGTCCCACTCCAAATAAACTGTTGCAAGAAGCCTCAAGACTTTGGCCTGGAAGAATAAGAAATTAGACAACGCATTCATTTAATACAAAAACAGTCGGAGACCACAATAAATATCTGAGATTCAAAATCTAATTTAAGCATGGAAATAAACAGACAGGTGTAAAAAAATGAATGTGAACTCTAAACTATTCTGCCCAGAATTATACTAATATACAATTCAAATCAGAAAAGTCCAATTCCACCAAGTCTATTAATTTCAGTCACATCTAATGTTTCTTACTTGCATCTCTGATCCTGGTGAATACTTCATGTTCATCTTGCCTATATCATAACTTTGGCTGCAATGCAGATTAAGAATGTGTTAACCAGAAGAAAAAAAAACTTTCAACACATGGGAAATGTCCTTATAGTGCAAATAGCTATCATAACAACACTAATGTTGTGGCAATATTGCACAAAAGTTTTGGGTCAGTTTTGGGTCTTTCTTTGGAAGACCTTTTAATATTTTTATAAAAAATTAGTAATTAAATTGAAGATGTGACCGCAAGGACAATTAAAGAGTTATAAAATACTTCTGTTTAAATGAATGCTGTTCATTTGAACTTTCTATTTAAATAATCCTCATGAAAACGGATATCACAGCGTCCACAAAAACATTAAGAAATTTTTCGTGAACACCAAATCAGATTATTTTTACCAAGTTAACACTTAGCTGATGATTAATTTATGAAGCAAGTTTGGCATGCTGCCCCAGGAGAAAGCCCTGAGGTCAATGTCCTTGAGCCTTGGGCTTTCTCCCATTAGAGCGAGAGGGGAGTTTAAGCTCAGGTTAGTCTCAAGAACTTCCCCTTATTTAGAGCTGATGACAGATTAAAATTGTTATATAGAGAGAGATATACAGCTGGTTAAGAGCTCTACTAAAGTGCTAATTTAGATTAATCAATTCACTAATGATGCATGTTTTTTGGACTGTGGGAGAAAACCAGAGAGTTTATTATTTAGTATATTTATTATATTATTACAGAGATCCTTACCTAAGCCAAAATGTGCTCTCTTCATGCTTTCCCTGACTGTAAGTGTCAACCCCAAAGTTGTAACAGATGAGGGAGAGATAGCCAGTCTAAACAGGATTTCACAGAGGCAGCATTATTTCCATTTATACTATAAATTTTCGCTCTCTTAAATCAGAATTTAAAAATTGCACCACTTTGTCCACCTCTTTAGGGAGGCGTAGAAGGATTTCTTTACATCGCTGTATGCATGACACTGCCACTTGGTGTTGCTCTTGAGATACTGCCTATAAAAGCAAAAATAAACTTGCATATAAAAAAATACACACATTTGCACATGCTAAGCAATCTCTACTAACAGATTCTGCCTGATAAGACAAAATCCGCAACAGGTCTTTCTCTATGTCGCCCTTTGGTGTGTTCATATCTTCTCCATCTCCATGGGATGTTAGTCTGCTGTAAAGAGTCTCCAGGCTCTGTAAAAGTAGCATATTTGTGGTTTCTTATTCATGTATTACGTCAATATTATTGTGTCTTATTTATTTCGATGCAAGAAAAAAATATTTACAAAGACTGCAGAACTGTAGAAAATTTTAATAGCATCCTGCAGCCCTAGTTCACATATTATCAAAATCGTTTCTGAAAATAAAAAAGGAGTTACTTAGAATTTATTTTTTTTCATTTATGGATGTAAAATTTATCCAGAAAAAGCATTAAATAAATAATAAATTTACAACGAGACGGGCTGGGTTCAGAGAGTAACCAAGTTTTAAATAGTATTGGAAAAGTCAACCCAAAACACCCTACAGTAAGTACACTACCAAAATGTGAAAAATAATTATGGGTACTTATCAATATTCCACCACACAATAGCATTATATATTTATTTATTATATGCAATTTTTTCTTGTTCCGCCAATATTGTCTGTTTTTTTCAATGAATTCATACATACATTGACAGCCATGCTCAAAAAAGCATCCGCAGACTTGGAGTTTTTACAATCGAGCCATGTTCTCCCAGTTTTACTGGCCATCTGAGAAACAAACAAGTAAGATTTCAGTCAAATATGCAAGGAGCATGCACAAGGGATGGAAATAAACAAATGTACTGTGCATATGCATGAACCACTTTATTACTGACTTCTGTGTGAATGTCAAATTAGTACAAGCTAATAAACAAGACTGCTGGAAATAATTTTTCACTAACCAGTATTTGCTTGCGCACGATACTCTCTGATGGGTTCTCAGGCCCGCATGAATACAGAAGTCTGCATGCCACATGACGCACTAAAACAAATTTGTAGAGTATTAAATAATTAAATAATTGACATCTATGTAAACATCTGGGATACACTTTAACATTTTTATTTGTTTGTATTCAAGGATATTAACTATATCTCTGTCAGTGATAGAAAACAAAGATTGATTGGCACCCAAAAACTGTAATACAGGGGTTTACAACTGTTTAGATGCCATGAACCTATCCTAAAATGCTAAATGCATCTAAGGTTTCTTGTGTAAAAGTCACAAATTGTACTGTAAAATGTTGCTATAAATGTCCAAAATATTATTAATTATATAGCTCTATTGCATTAGCACATTTTATAATATATTAACTATATACACATTTATATAATTATTTATTTTTAACAACATATTAACAAAATCTGCATCTATTAATTGACATTTTGCATAATTAATTGATTAAATTTAATAATGTTTATACTAAAATTATTGTACTATCGTTAAATTATGTTTTTTTTTTTTTTTTTACAATTGTTTGTCTTCTTTATACTAGTAGAAGCCAATATTCTCGACACCAGTGGTGCTCAACCCTGTTCCTGGATATCGACCTTCCTGCAAAGTTCAGCTCCAACCCTGATCAAACACACTTGAACCAATTAATTAGGACCTGAACAGCACTTGATAATTACAGGCAGGTGTATTTCATATGGGTTGCAACTGAAATCTGCAGGGAGGTCGAACTTCAGGAACAGGGTTGGTCACACCTGCTCTACACTTACCAATTTTTACAGACTGTTCAAAAGTGGAAAGGAGCGTAGCTGCAGTAATGGTGGCTGAACATCGTTATGAAATTAGTCTGCCAAAAGAATGCTCAATATTCATAGCTGAAGCCTGTGCTTTACTTTTACTTGGAATATATAGAAAATGTCCAACAAAAGAATAATTTTTCAGACTCCAAATCATGCCTCCAAGTGACGGAATCTTCAAAAAATGATCATCCTTTCATTGATAATGTTTAACTAAAGTTCACCATCTACAAAACCAGTTTTGTCATACCATTTTTTATTGGGTTCCAGGACATCTTGTACTTTCAGGAAATGAGTGAGCTGATGTGGCTGCTAAGGATGCTTTGAAACAAGTGGTGAACAAATGCCAGAGATGAGACATTTTATCAATGTTTACATTTTAAATAAGTGGCAAGAGGAGTGGGATGCATTGGAAAATAACAAATTGTATGAAATACAACCTAAAATCTCACGCAAAGTTTTAAGACATTTTAAAACTAGACTTGGTTAAACACTAAACATCTTATTTAATTTATGTACAAATTTTTGTTCATATTTGATTGGATACTTGTAACTGAAATGTTCTTGCCATGACAATAGCTTTAATTGGTGACATGGCATTAAATTAAAATATATACTGGATTTAGTGATTCAGGGGCCCTAAGCAATTCTGGGTATGGGGCCCTAGCACTGAAACTCAAAACATTCTCTTATACATTTTTTTTCTCTGTAGATTATTATTATTGTAAATAAACAGCATGTTAAAGTATTTAAATAAATAAATATATATAAAAAGTATATAAAAAAGTATATTTTCTATATTTTTATATTTACTGGAAGCTTTTTCTTTTTTATTTAAAATTAAATGTAATACATTCACAAATAAAAAAAAACAACAAGTAATTTGCAACTATTTAAACTAAATGAGCCATTTTGGTGAAAAGATTTTGATATAAGTAAATAAAAAAGTTTTAACAAATTTAATTCACGATCATTTAAGTTAACTGAATAATTGCTGTTTGTGAATCGGCAGCCGTTCATTTTCACTGAGCAATGTTATTTTATTTGAACAGACTCTATACACAGATTTTACAACATATGATTTAAAAAATGTATAAACGAGATATATGATTAATATAGGCTTCTTGGCATTGGTCAGGGACCCATAATTCCCTGGGGCCCTAGGCGGCTGCTAACTTTGATTATTGATTAAGTCCGCTCCTGCTAGTATGTTCATTTGTGCGTCCATAAAAGGCTAATTTAAACATGTTTAAAATTGTATTAACTACATTGACCAATTATTTTAATTTATTAAACATTTCTACATTTCCCAGACTACAGATTGAAACCCCCAACAGTATTAAATAGATACTTAATACAGGCAAGTAAAATCATTATTAATTATAATTATTAGGCCTAATTAATACATGTATTATTATTTAAAAAAAATCTAATTTATATTAAAGTTAATAAAACAAAAGACTAATACAAGGACAGACCTTTGGCCTTCTGCTCTTCTGTAATTGAGGTGCCAACACGTTTGGTGACAGCCCAGTTCCACAACTGGATGGCGATTTCCTCCAGCTACAAAAACAACTAAATTATTAAATATTGAACCACAATTACCTGATTTCTGTGTAAGATGTTAACTTAAAATACGAAATAATATATATTTATGTCGAGAACAAAATAAAGACGTCATGTCTTCAAAACACAACGCTACAAGATCCCTGGGGGCTTCCGTAGATTTCAAAAGAAGTGTATTTTCCACACCTGTGAATCCTGTAGTTTTGCAGCTTCATCTAGAGTTAAAATCTCCTTGAAGAGGGAATCAATCACTTCATCCAAGTCTGAATGGCTCTGTCTGTGGAGGAGTTTCTCTGACAGGTCTGTGAAAGGAACGTCAAACCACGAAATATCTTCACATAACCTGTTAAATTACTTACAAAAGGTAAGTTGAAACTGTTATTTGTCATTATATTAATATCACTTAAAATATGTAAGATAAATAATTGTTTTGTAAAAAAACACAATAGCTCATCTCATAGTAAATACACAATAGCGTATCTTTTATACATTGAATTGACTGGTACCACATATCTTTCTTTTACCGCAAACGTACCTTTTACTTCGACAGCAAACTGCTCCATATTATATTTTGTGTATCTAAAAAATCTGAAGTAATTTTAAAAGGTTGTATTTTGTATGAAGTTTCTGTGTGACTGGAAAAAAACCAACGCTGCCCCTCGCGACCGCTCCCCGCCAAAACACGCACGAGGACGCGCTTCAGCCGGAGTGTAATACCGCTGAGTGACCGCAAGGTGGTGTCTCACACACGGTTTTTAACTTGCTGTTACTCATCATGTCTCCCTAAAATATTTCATTCAGGTTCACACAATTTATTTGGCGTGGTGAAGCCAAGATTAATAATCCAGCCTCATTAATATTAACAACTACAATCATTTTGCTATTTGGACATCACTCATATGCTATAAAATTGCATGTGTCTGTATATAATAACTGCTATTTGATTGTAACTTAAGTAACTGAGGTTTACTTAATTAAAGTAATGCAATTATGTGATTGTAATGCAAAAATGTGCATCTTTTGTAAAGCTGCATTGAAACAATAATTACTGTAAAAAGCTCTGTACAAATAAACTTAAATTTAATATTTAGTTACATTATAGCGCACAATTTCCACTATATTAAATGCACTTTTATTATAAATAGTAATAGAATATAAAAATGAAATATAAAAGCCTCAGAAACAAGCGCTCTAAATAATATTTTAAGATAAATGGAGAACTAGGCCTGCTCTTTTGATATTCAGAATTTCCGTGTTGAAAGGTCTGGCCCATTACATAGTATAATAGCATTGTTTAAACATAATATTCATCACCTTCTGCTAGTTAAAACCTCATTCACCCCAAAGAAAGTATGTGCTGATAACGCTGAGCTTTTTGTTTTAACAGGGGAGGTCATTGTTGAGCTGAAGGAAAGAGCTCAAGCTGCGTACACAGAATGGTTTGTGAAGTCTCTTATTGTGTTCACGGCACTAGATTCAAAAATAAGATGTCTTAAAAGCCCACTCCTCTGCATGCTCGGCTTCCAGCAATTGTTTCTGCCTGAGTCTTATCTAGCCACCGTACTGGTCTGAGGGAAATGTGATCAGTTCAGAGGGCTTGATTGCACAGGAGAACGAAAAAAACAAACATGATCCTTGTGACATGCGGTCAGAGAGATGGACACAAGATTTCCTAAAGTCTGCAACATAAATAATATTAAAATAATAATAAACAGGCGTATTTATACATCTGTGCCAGGTTTAAAAATATTTCATCTCACAGTTAGACTTGGGTATGAAAGGTCAATGCTAGGCCGAATATTGTGTATTCGAGAAATATCTCTGTAAAACATCTGCTGCCAAACCTGAAGACATAACCTGAAATGTATTGTCTATAAATGCTTTGGGAAAAAAAGAAAAAGGTAAAAAATGACTAGCTTTTATTTTACAAGAATTTATCTCTTAATCTTTCTAATTCAAAAACTAAATGTTGCAATTTACTGCATAATACACTTTACATGGTGGCTTTTATCAGCATTTAAATCTGCATTTAAATCTGTTAACATTAAATACCAATGAACATCTGTAATCTAAAATTATATACTTCAATGAAAAAAAATCAGGGATCAATTACTTTGGATTGCATTCCTAGTTAACAAATTCAATGCATTTTTTTCAACACATCCCATTATTTCTAAAATATCAGCCACTACCAAATGGTTGATATGGTAAAAGTAACAGAATTAATACATATACTATGAAAAATCAGAAAATATAAAGTGTAAGACCTATTTATTTAAAAACCTAATAAAAATAAATCCTTTAAATTATTAATTCATTCATTTTCTTGTTGGCTTAGTCCCTTTATTAATCTAGGTTCGCCACAGCGGAATGAACCGCCAACTTATCCAGCACATTTTTACGCAGCGGATGCCCTTCCAGATGCAACCCATCTCTGGGAAACATCCACAAACACTCATTCACACACACTCAGACACTATGGACAATTTAGCCAACCCAATTCACCTGTACCGCATGTCTTTGGATTGTGGGGGAAACCGTAGCACCCGGAGTAAACCCACGCGAATGCAGGGAGAACATGCAAACTCCACACAAAAACGCCAACTGAGCCGAGAATCGAACCAGCGACCCAGCAACCTTCTTGTTGTGAGGCAACAGCACTATCTACTGCACCACTGCTTCGCCCACATTTAAATTAGTTATTTATTTATTTTAAACATTTATTTAAAGATTTGCAATGACAGAACAGTGGTATAAGTGTCTCATTTCATCATATACAATAATATAACTATTTATTATACTTTCGTCCATCGGGTAGTAATTCAAGTCTTTTGTGAAGGGTAAAATGAACAAAATAATAATAAAAATAGTCTTTCAAGATACATTCTCCAAACTTCTCATAGAGGGTTTCAGATATACCAGAAATCATATCTAATCATAAGACTTAAGTCCTAAGTCAGTTTTTCTAAGGGTAAGAAAATGGCAATCTGATTTATCCACATATTGATGGAAGGAATGTTAGGAGAGGACAATAAATTATTTTACAATAAAAATATTTTAGTCACCAAACATATTTAGACATTGAAAGGTAATGCAATTAAATTCAAAACAATTTCAACTAAAATTGAAAAAAAAATGCTTCTTTTGATTTTTCCTCTTTTAAATATGTATTTAATATTTTTCTATAACATATAAATTGTGGTGTACTAGTTTTTGGGCCGTTATTGTCGGTTACTTTGTTAGATAAACTCCAGATTTGGCTTCACTACTTACTAATCTAATGTGTATGCACAAATATAATATTGTATAGCTTCACTTAAAAAATATTAATTCAAAAGATTGATTTGTGAGGGGTGCACTCATATATGCTGAGCACTGTGTAGATAAAAGGATATGAATGGACAATGCATTGCTGTACGTTGCGGGGAGCATATCCACGTTTGTAGCATCAAAAAGACAAACAGTCTGTGGTGCATCCACACACCATGGGGTGCTGGAAGGTGAAAGAAGCCCCATGATTATTTACTCTGATATAAAATTAGCTGCACATCCTGTTTCTGAAGTAAAAAAAAAACTGTAAATATTTTTCCAGTGTATTTTGAATGCTATGTAATCAGACAATGCAACGTTGCACCTTGATTTAAAAAAATTGTGATGCAAAAATTTACTAAGAAATATTTCATATTAATTTTCTGTTAATTAAACACTAACACAATAAGCCTGATTTCTTGCTAGAAGTGTGATTCTAAAGTGATCGTAGTTATATTGTCCAGATATTAAGTCTATAATAAACAAGACAAAAGAAGACACTTTTAAATAGTACCAAATGCTATTAATGTTACAGTTTACTCAATAAATATATTAAAAATAAGTTTTTGTGATACAATAAAAATTATTTTTGTGATCAAGAAGAGATTATTGGACTGTGCAATATTTTTGCGTACAGTATCTTAAATTTTAAAAAAAATATATAATAAAAAATATTGTTTTTTTTTACAGTTTGTTTTGATATGGAATACTTTTAGTCTACTTTATATTTTGATGTAGTGCATAATTCATCTTTTTTTTTCTTAGAGTATAATAAGGATAAGTTGCGGGTTCATTCCACTTTTGCGACCCCAGATTAATAAAGGGACTAAGCCAAAAAGCAAATATTGATTCATTCATTCATTTTCTAACACTAAATCTGATTTTTGCTAGAAAGGCTATGCTAAAGTGATTCTAGTTTAAGTGATGTTGTGCAGATATTAAGTCTATAATAAACAAGATAAAATAATATCTTAAATATTTTAATAAATATTCATTCATTAATTTCCCTTTAGCTTACTACCTTATTTATAAGGGTTCGCTACAGCGGAATGAACCCTCTTCAATAAATACATTACAAATATTTTTATTTGTTGTAGAAGAGATAATAGTACTGTGCGTGTGTGTGTGTGTGTGTGTGAGAGAGTGTGTGTGTGTGTGTGAGAGAGTGTGTGTGTGTGTGTGTGTGTGTGTGTGTGTGTGTGTGTGTGTGTGTGTGTGTGTGTGTGTGTGTGTGTGTGTGTGTGTGTGTGAGAAAGAGAGAAAGAGAGATAATATGTGCAGTAATTTAAAAACACTTGGAATGAGTTATGTAACTTAAAAAAATCAACCCATGATGTATGTGATGTATGATATGTATTAACTCTTTTTAAATCAAATTTCCAGTAAATTCTTATTAAATCGATCATATTCTTATTATAGTAGGCCATACTTTTTAATAGCAGTTCAAGTAAAACTTTACAATAAAGTTGTATTAGTAATGCATTCACTAACACGAACAGACCATGAACAATACATTTAATTGTTTGTTTATGCTAGTTAGTGAAAATACAGTTGTTCATTCTTAGTTAATTAACTCTGAATTAAGTAATGTTAAAAAAGAGGAATTTGTGTCTTATGCATTAGTAAATGTTGAACTGATTAGTAAATGCTGTATTGGTTTTGTTTATGTTAGTAAATACAGTCAACAATAAAACCTTATTATAAAGTGTGACCAGAGTTCTGTATTTTCAGTCTACTATAGTGCATATTTCATGTTTTTTTCTTTGATGGGTATAAAAATGTTATGATGTATTTCTTGTTTCTGTTGGTCTTGTGTTGGTATGTTCCTAATAACTCTATGCAAGTCATTTAGCCTGAATAAGTAGATAGCCTATCGATTAAGTTAAATCAGTACACGTAGCTTTACGAGTATCGCTGCAGGGTTACTATGGTGACGTTGCGTCCTTCCGTCCTCGCTTCACTCATATAAAGCCTTCGAGAGGGAAAAGCCCAGTAGAAAAGTCAGAGGTATAGTGGGATGGTGTGAAGATAGATAAATGGCTGTTACACCTTCACTACATAGTGTAGTTTTGGAAATTTCATTCATTCGGTTTTAGGAAGGACGGACAGCGGTCGCACCTGCCCTCGGGAGTTGTGGAGTCAGTGGAGTTTCTCCATTCGTCTTAGTACCGGGGCAGGCGCAGTCCTGCGCGATACTTTACAGTCACTGAGAGGTGTTTAACTATTAACACGTCACCGAAGAACCATCTCTATC